CCACGGTGGTCCGGGCACCAGAGGTGTGTTTCCCGGCGGATCTGGCGGCGGCGGGATGAAACGCGAGTGTTCTGGCACTGGCGTGTTCATTCCCCGGAGATATGGCGGTAATACTACAAAACCTCCCTCCGATTCACGCAAAACGACAGGTATTTTCTGTTTTTCAGTTTATCGTGTTCAAGTTGTCCTCCATTTTAACCTAATATTTGTTTTTATTGTTTCTATTTTGTCCATATTCATCTTGTATTAGTTCATTTAACTCACTGAGTTTTTGTTCCATATCTCGGAAGAATTAGTGGAAGAATTATGGCTAAAAATGGCGGAAATTTTCCGCCCATCTTTTTTTCTTGCTGTTTTTACGCTTTCTTTTAACTCAATTAGGTTATCTCCACCGCCCTTCTGCAATTGGCTAGACAGCAGAATGATGTTTAATCAATGTCAATATGGAATATCTTATCTTCCTTTTCACGTTACCGTCCCATGATTGTGTCTGATTTCTTAAGAACAAACACTGTTTTCTGGGAAATTAATGATTGGTGCTCTGTTTCTGGATTTATCAATACCCTTAACGCTTGTGTTTATTGTAAAACAGGGCGTTCTGGTTCTGCTGCTCTGCATTCAACGAAAGCTGTTAGTGGTGTGAACCGGAGCCTTAACTCCTTTGAAGGCTTCAATGGTTTAGCTCAACCTCAGATGAATCCTCTTGGTATAACTCTTAAACAGTTTACTATTTACTATTCTTCCATGGAATCTCTGCTCTCTGTTCCACCATTTGAGACACAGGATTAAGGTTTCAGAATGTTTGGGTGCTGCAGATTTGTTGATTGCAAGGAGAAATGGTGCATTGCTAGCGCAACGGATGAGGAACATGACCCCCGATGTTTCCATCAGCCCCGAGCTTCGTCTTCCTCCCGAATGGACTTACTAACCTCTGAAAATCTCCTTCAATCTTGAAGGAGCTTTTGCTGTTAGAAATGGTGGGGTAGAGAAGTAGTTCATGATAGAAGGAAGTATAAGAAGTAGCAGGTGTTTGGTTTCAGTAAGTTTTCTAGGAAATTATTGATGCAGGAAGGCAGCAGGAGAAAATGAATAAACCAAAATTTTCTCAACAGGGTTTTTGTTTCAAGTATATATAAATATATATTATATTACATATATGTGTGTCTTGAAGGAGGAAGATGATGATAGCAGAAAACTGGAAAAATGGGTGGTTTTTGTTGCTGTAAAATAAGTGTTCTTAAAATGGGTTTGTGGGGTTGTTTTTGCCATGGCTGGGACTGCATTGGAGAAGAAGGCTGTTGAAGAAGAAGAAGAAGAAGAAGATTATGCAGTCCTCCCCTCATTGTAAAACTCATACTATTATCACTATTGTAATAAGGAAAAGCTAGCAATGTTTAGTTGTCTGCATTTAGATTTCTGCATAATTTCTTGTTGTTTCGGAATATATAATATATAAAATTTAAATAAATGTGTAGTTTAATATTTCTTTTACATTTTTAATTGTGAATTAATAATTTTTTTGTCTCTCGATTATGCTGTAATTATCAAATTAATTATTAATTATCAATTTTGACGAAATAAGTCTTCAATTATTTTATTTTCTTAATGGGTTTGGTTCTTTCTAATTATTTTTTGATCAGTTTATTGGAGGATTAAATCAATTATAAAATTAATAATTAAGAATTTAATTAGTCAAAATTGATAATAAAAAATTTAATTTATCACTACTTGAGTGACCAAAATAATCATTCATTCTTTAATTGTGACGGGGGACGGACTCAAAAGGCCCAGGACTCGAGGAAGAAAGAAGATAGGAAGGGATGAAGATTGGGCTTACGAAAGATCGGCTCCAATAAGGAGAAAAGAAAGTCCAGAGATAGCTATAAACGAATCTAGGGGCCGACGTGAATGGGGAGTCGACATAAGTAAGGAGTCGGGTCAGCAAGATAGCCGTTGGCATTTAAGAGCCTCTTCAAGGCTCGGTCAAACAGGCTGTTGGGAGGCCTGGTAACGACAACCCAACAATCCCTGAGTTTAATAAGGTAACATTATGGCACTTTAATGCACACATTTAAAATTAGCAAGGATGACACATTATAAAAGGGTCCTTTTAAGAATGTAAGGGAAGTCAAGTCGAATTGTCCAGAAACCTATTTTTCTTACAAGTTCCATAGTTTATTTGAAAGGTGAATCTACCAACTACGATTATATTCCATCTCTATGGATAAAAAAATCCTAAAACCAACAAATTTCGAAAGAATATTGGAGTTGTTTCTTTCGTAATTAAAGTTATTTTTTCAGAACAATTGGAAGGAAAACAGGGGGGAAGTTGCACAGGTGGGGCCAACAACATGCAGAGTTTATGTGAGTTAGTTGATATATTAGTAAATAAATTGTATTTTTTTTTTTTTTTGAAAAAAAGAAAGGGAAAAAGTGAGAAAATATCCGAAAAGGAGGTAAAGGGGAATAAAGGGTAGTGGTGGTAGCTTCCGGGCGAAGGAGATGGGGATTGAATGGACATTGGGTCCCACGATGACGTCAGTGCTGGGTTTTCTTTTTGAATCGGTTCTGATTTCGAAACGGTTCTCCATTTCCCACCGTCGCCGGATGGGGTTTATTGTAATTTCCGTTGATGCTATAATGAAATTATGTTCTGAGTTATACTCGTAGAGTTGGTTACTTATTGAGATGAGATGTTATTTTGAAACTCTTTAATATGATGTGGTCGTTACTAAAATTAAACATTTAATTTTGTATTTAAATTATGGGAAAATGGCACTTTTTCCCACGATGACGTCAGTGTTGGGTTTTCTTTTTGAATCGGTTCTGATTTCGAAACGGTTCTCCATTTCCCACCGTCGCCGGATGGGGTTTATTGTAATTTCCGTTGATGCTATAATGAAATTATGTTCTGAGTTATACTCGTAGAGTTGGTTACTTATTGAGATGAGATGTTATTTTGAAACTCTTTAATATGATGTGGTCGTTACTAAAATTAAACATTTAATTTTGTATTTAAATTATGGGAAAATGGCACTTTTTCCCATGTGTTATATACTTATAGTATTTTTTTTCTTCAATTATTCAAGTGGCTATTTCCCCCCCCCCCCCCCCCCCCCCCCCGAAATGTTAAATGGACATATGTACCCTTAAAATAAATATTTTATTTATTTTTCTTCTCCAACAAATTATGACCACGATTCGGTTCAAACCGAACAGACACTATAACAACTAAATTGAAATATTCCAATTACAATTTAGAATCGAAACTTGATATTTAGAGTTTATTAAAATCGCGAACCGAAACGGCCGGTTCATGTTCCGAACTAAAAATAAAATAAAATACATTTATTGTTGAATTTGGACTATTTTAAAAATAAAAATAAAATGTTAAAATAAAGAAGATTCAAAATCGCGATTCGGAGCCAGAACCGCTGGTTCACGGTTCAGAAACCAATTTTTTTGATTCATAATTTTAATAAACTGAAATCTAAATATTGGGTTCTGGATCTGAATCATAATCGAAAATTTTCAATTCGATTGCTATAGTGTCCGGTTCAGTTCGAACCGAACTGTGGTCATCCCAACATATAAACAATAATTTGTTGGAGAAGAAAAATAAATAAAATACTTACTTTAAGGGTAGGAATGTCAATTTAATATATCATGTGGAATAATCGCCACTTTTAGAATAATTGAGGGGGCTAATATGCTTACATAAATAACTCAGGGGAAAAAAGTACTATAAGTATATAATTCAGGGAGAAAAAGTGTCATTTTCCCTTAAATTAACTTTAAACAAACTTCTTTAACTGAATCAAAACAATAAAACGAGACATAATGAAATATTTAGGCATTTCACTATGAGAGTATACACAATTTAGTCTTTTATTCCGGACATTAGACACTTATTTTCTTATTTTTTTGATCGTTGAATTATTATAATTTATTCTTTTCCTGTCATGTTGAGCACTCAAGCAGAGTTGTGAGACTCTTAAAATCTTATGATGACAGAGTTTGTTTTTGTGGACAAAAATAAAATAAAACCCTAATTTTGGTGGATTTCCCAAGTGGAGTGAGAGACATTTTTGGTTATAGTGATTTTTTGGTGTTCCAGTGATGTTGCTAGTAGACTGTTGGTAAAAAAAAAAACCCAATGCACTCTCCATTTCTATATCATTTTTTTAAAAATAATTATCTTAGAAATAGAGAATATTTAATATTTTATTAATATGTTCAAAAAATGTATTATGTATAAATCATGAGATGCCGTGGTAGAGGTGAGTTTGGGATCTTTACTAATATTGGTAAGCAGTGAATTAGCAAGGGGATAAAAAATTATTATTTAATATATAAAAATTTTTTTGCCAGCCAAAATATTTGTAGTTCAATGATATTTCATAGACTTTTTCAAATAAGGTCACCTAGATTTAAATCCTAGTCCACCATTTTGCAATGAATTGTAAGATTGGATAATAGGAATAATTTAGAGTAAATATCCAAAATGGTCCATCGACTATAGCTAAATTCATAAATTGGTCATCGACTTTCAATTTTAACCAATTAAGTCTTTAACTTTGCAATTTTGACACGATTTGGTCCTCCATCTATTTGACCGTTTATTGACCGCGATTTTTGAGGATATATATGTAGTTTCACGTGCAAAGCTCAAGAGAACGCTCTTGAAGGTGACATCGTCGTTTCGGAGGGGGAAGTACTTCTCCGCTTGCTGCTTGGGGATCACGAGCCGGTTCAGCTTAGAGAACGCTCTTGGAGGTGACAACGCCGTTTCGGAGGGGGGAAGTGCTTCTCCGCTTGCTACTTGGGGATCCCGAGCCGGTTCAGCTTGCCTACATCGCTTGGAGTCACGGCTTTCTCGAAGAGACACTCCAGGGACTTCGGCGATCTATCTATCAAAAGCTATAATCTCTCCAGCATGGGGTGCGACGCCAGCAGTGAATTCAAATGTAAGAGTGCGGTCTAAAAATTCAATCGGAATCTTAAAAAACCAACGATGGACCATAAAATTACATACATATTCTAAAAAAGTGCAGTCAACAAACGGTCAAATAGACAAATGATCAAATTATGTTAAAATTACAAAATTATGTCCTCATTGGAGAAAGCGCCCTTGACCGGATGTCGTCAACTAGACGTCGGAGATTAGAACACGACGATCCACCTTCACCGACAGCTTTTCCGGCCAATTTAGCCACCTCTTCTGCTCTCTGTAAGAACTCATCTTTTCTCTTCTCCATAACATCTCTAACCATCTTCTCCACCGTGACTCTGTCGCACCTACCTTTCATGTCCATTCCAATCTTCCACACCGCCTCCACCATCCGGCTGTTCGTGTTCTGATCGCCTAAGCACGGCCGGCATATCATCGGCACGCCGGCGACTATACTTTCCAGAGTTGAATTCCACCCAGAATGAGTAAAGAATCCCCCGACAGAAGGATGCTCCAACACCGCCTCTTGCGGCGCCCATCTCACCATGTACCCTCTTGCTTTCAAACCCTCCTCAAGCTCTGTCGGAACCCAATCTCCGCCATTTTCTCCGGCCACGAGGTCCTGTCGGTGAACCCACAAGAACCTCTGCCCGCTGTTCACTAACCCATGCCAAATCTCCAGTAACTGCTCTCTGGTCACCACTGCTAAGCTCCCAAAACTTACATAAATCACTGATTTTTCCGGCTGGTTTTCCAGCCAGCTCAGGCAGCTTCTATCTTCATCCCGTAAACTGTTTGAAGAAGGCGGATTTGCGTCCAGTCTGGCCTTCAAATGCGCATGAACCGGTCCGATTGCGTATGCATTTGGACACATTGTTCTTACCTGGGAGAGTATGGGTTCTTCAAATGTGTTGAAGATTACTCCTCTTGCTCGAGTTGTTTGCAGTTTCTCCTTCACCAAAGTTCTGAAAATGGGGGTTTCCAAATTCTGCAATTGGCAAAAGCTTGGCAGGTCACCTAGCCTGAGAAAACTTTCCATGCCCTTTACCTTCGTTGCCAAATCCATTTCGTTTCCTGTATATATAATTCCATCATAACCTTAAACAAGATGATCAAGAAACAGATGTTTTCATGTCTTTGCTTTGACAATTCTATCCGCACCCTATGACTTTCTCATCCCTCTCAATGAATTTTAAAATACATGCACAATTTGAGTAATGGGTTAGTGTCTCTAGGATTCAATTGCATTAACATCTCATTGTCTTAATTTTTTATTTATGAAAAAGAACAACACAAAAAAAAACACAATGAGCAAACACTTAATACAACTTATACTACCAGCACAATTTTAGTTTCAATTAAAGACTAATTAACATCATTAGTTCTTACTCCGTATTAAATTTAGAGTTATGTTCAAAGTTATAAAAAGAATTAATGCGATAATTAACTAGAGAATTTCATCTTGACTAAAAATTGATAATAAACTTCATATTTATTACCTTTGATGGGAAGCTCGCCGGATTGGATGAGATCTGGGGTGCAGACATAACACCAGAAGGCAGCAACGCTGATTGTTTGGAAAACAATGGTGGGCAACTTGAATTCCTCTGCCACATCAACCGCTAAGCTCACCAATGCTCCATCTGTTATCACGCAACTCACCGGCGGCCAGAACGGGCATCTCCGGTGACCTCCTCCGAGATATTCTTTAAGAAACGGCCTCCCCACGGACTCTAAGGTGTTGAGATTCTCCATGAAGCCGTCAAGAGTGTGGAGATCATCCTGATGGATCCCGTCGGGGAGAGTTTCCAGCCGGAATTTCTCGCCGAATCTGGACCCGACGTCGGTGTGCGCAAGAAGGCTGCCGTGAGTGGGGACGGTGACGAGGAAGGTGACGTGGATGTCGGAGAGACATAGAAGCTCTGAAAGCTTGAGCATGGAGTTGACATGGCCCTGTGCCGGTAGCGGGAAGACGAGTACGTGAGGTGGTGGAACGACGGCGGTGGTATCCATTATAGATTCCGTTATGTTTCAGATCGGAGATGGAGATATTTTTATTTTCATCACAGAAACGAAATCTTATAACGACAAGGAAACGTAACGGGACACTGCAACCACCATTGTTATTATATTTCAATTCTGACAATGAAAATATTGTCATGCCCCATATAAAAAGACAACTCTGAGAACAATGATTTGAAATCAAATCTCACTAGTGCGTATCATATGCGCAATAAAAAAATAGAATAATGTTTAAATTGATCACTGAACGTAACATGAAAATGCAATTAGATTACTGAACGAAAAAAATGTAATTAGGTCTCTCAATACTCCAAATGTATGCAATTTCACCCCATAGCAGGTTACTATCAATTTTAGCAAGCTACCTACTTACATGGCAGCTGAGTTGACATTTTTAATAATAAAATTTTTAAAAAAAAAACGTCAGCTACCTCGCCATTCTTTATAAAAATAATTATTAACTTTTATTTAAAAATTCTTAAAAAATACCAACTTAGATGCCACGTAAGTAGGTAACCTGCTAAAATTGATGGTAACCTGCTATTTTGTGAAATTGCATACATTTGGAGTATTCAATGGCCAAATTGCACTTTTGTGGAGTCTTCAGTGACCTAACTGCACTTTTATTTCGTTAAATGACCTAATTGCATTTTCAGGTTACGTTCAGTGGCCAATTTGAACCTTATTCCAAAAAAAAATTAGCATCTATGTGGGGTGAATTAACATGATTTACATATTCTCATATTCAATTGGACTGAGAATAGAGATGTCAACCGGATAGGATGAGAGCGAGGGACATACCCCACATCCCCGCCCAACTTTCTTCCATATTCCCTATCTCTGTTAGAAAAAAATACTCTATCGATGATTATTCCGGGACGGAGAATCTCCAACCAATTTATAAGTTATAAAAAAGAATTAAAAATTAAACATTAAAAAAATATTTAAATAAATAATGCATATATATTTATCTTCAACTTAAAATAGTATTCAATATATATATATATATATATATATATATATATATATATATATATAGGGGACTAGGCGAATAGGGGTGACATCGGTTTCGGTTCTGGTTCGATTTCAAACCGAATCGCCGTTTTCGGTTCCGTAAATGGACAAATTGGAATCGGAACCTTATAGTAAGGTTCCGATTTGGATCTCGGTTCAGAATCCGCAATTCCAACTGGATTTATTTTTAAAATTTTTTTTAAAAAACACTATAATTTTAATTTTTTTTTTAATTGGAGTCAGTTCTGATTCCTTATCATCTGGAACCTTAACCTTAACCGAAACCGTATGGACGGTTCGATTTCGGTTCCGATTCAATAGTGCACGGTTCGATTCGAATCGAACCGTAGTCACCTCTAGGGCCGAGGCGGAGAGTGCCTTCGTCCTTGACAGAGAATTCAAAATTGCCTCCATCCCTATCCTGATTTCCTATTTTTGTCCCCATTCTCGTTCCCATAAGGCTAGAAATCAGATTCACTATCAAGTATTGATACAATTGACATCCCTAATCGAAAAGTGAAACTGATATTTAAATCTTACCAATTTTTTACTAATTTATGTTGGTCAACTACAACTTGAAATATCCACAAATCAATAGCTGTAAGATAAGATTAAATTCAAAATAAAAAATCAGATTATGATGCAAGAGTTGTATGAGGTTGTTGAAATGAGCATGCTGAATCTAAGAACTGGATATTTAAGGATAATGAACCCTAGAATTTGAAGACTTTATGTCGTTGACTAACCGTTGAAAGTTACAGAAAGATGAACCGCCTTCAACCAAGCTTCTCCTAGCCATGCCCGCCATTTCCTCAGCTCTCTGCAACAACTCATCTTTCTTCTCCACCATTAAATCTCTAACCATCTTCTCAATTATAACTCTATCACAGCTATCCTTCATGTCTAATCCCACATTGTAAACTGCTTCTACGAATCTGCTGTTCACTTGTTGGTCCAGAAAGTATGGCCAAGAAACCATGGGAACACCTTCGGAAACACTTTCAATGGCCGAATTCCATCCGGAATGAGTCAAGAATCCTCCGATTGCCGTGTGGGCTAGCACCTCTTCCTGGGGAGCCCATTCCACGATGAATCCTCTCTCCTTTATGCTCTCAGCCAGGTCTGCCGGGATCTCGCTCTGAGAATTTTTTCCGGCGAAGGGTTCTCGCCGGAACACCCACAAGAATCTCTGTTCACTGTTCACTAACCCGTGCCAGAACTCCATGACCTGGTGTTTAGTCAGCGTGGCGATGCTCCCGAAGCTGACGTATACCACCGATTTCCGCGGCTGTTTGTCTAGCCACGCGAGGCAGCTCCGGTCCTCCGGCCATAAACTGTTCGAAGAAGACGAGGGAAACGGCGCCGTTTCGGAGGATAATAATAGTTTAGTTCTCAGGTGGGCGTGGAGCGGTCCGACGGCGTAGAGATTCGGGCAGACGTTTCGGATTTCGGCGAGAATGGATCCATCTAGCTCTTCAAACGTGTTGAGAATCAGACCGCGAGAACGCGAATTCAATAGCCCTTTGCCCTCTTCTGTATAAAGCTTGAACTTTGGATCGGTTATGTCACCGGAACGGCAAAACGCCGGCAAATCCCTCCGGCGAAGAAACGTTTCCATTCCCGGAACGCCCTTTATTGCTTTATCCAAATCATCATCTCCTGAAAGATGCAATTGATTAAGAAAATCTGCAATAACTATTTAAGGGTGTTTATAAAGTAAAAAATCAAGAATTTAATGGGTTATCTTTGACAGTAGACTGACCATGAAATGGAAGCTCGCCGGATTGAACGAGTTTGGGGAGACAGAAGAAGATCCAGAGACAAGTAGGACTGTAAGTGCGTATGAAGAAGATCGGAACTCCAACTTCATCGGCGACATCGCCGGTAAAATCCAAAATCCCGTCGGATATGATGCAAGTTACAGGTCCCGGCGGCGAATCCTCATAAGTAGACAGTATTTCTTTGAACAGAGGCCTAGTTTTGGCCTTGAGAGAATCAAACAACTCCATGTACCGGTTGCCCTCGCGGGGGTGATCCGCCGGAAGGCCATCGGAGATGGTTTTGATTTGGAAGCCGGGATATTGTAGGAGACGCGATTGGAGATTGGTGTGACGGTTTAGGCGGCCGTGAATGTGATCGGTGAGTAGGAAGGTGACGCTGATGCCGGAGAGGCAGAGAAGCTCTGCTAATTTGAAGGTGGCGTTTACTGGACCTTGGAGGGGTAAGGGGAAGATGAGAACATGTGGGTGCAGTTTTCCTTCCGCCATTGCTGCTATCTTGCTTTTCTTTTCTGGGATTTTTGGACCTATGTTTCACGTCTGATTCATTATTTATTCCTTCATAGTTCATAGTTTGATTTTTTTTTTTTTTTGGTTGGTTAACACTAATGGAACTTATAATAGGCTAGACATTTACTTACTGTACGCCACATTGAGTCATCTCACTTTGAGAGAGGTTACTGTCACACTGTTACGGGTGAGATTTATCTCGAATTATTATTCTCAAATTTTGTCACGATGACCAACTGATGCGCGTTTAAATACACAAATCTTTTACAGGTAAAGATGGTAGAGTAATAGAAGACTAGAAAACACCAAAGAAAAAAAAAACAATCATATTGCTTAAATACAATGCGGACTATTGTTCATTATATTTGAAAGAAAATTCTATTCATATTCAAAATAAAGTTTAAACATTTTGATATTCAAATTCTCATCCGCCTAATGTCGTTGATTAAACGTTCCATATCTTGGTATGAATCACCACCTTCCATAACACTTTGCTTAGCTAAATTCGCCATTTTTTTCGACCTCTCTAAGAACTCATCTTTCCTGTCGTCCATCACTTCCCTAACCATTCTTTCAACAACATCTTGACTACATAAGTCTTTCATGTCCAACCCTATCTTCCAGACCTCCCCAACATACCTACTATTGACTTGTTGGTCGACGAAATAAGGCCAACATATCATCGGCACTCCTTCCACTATACTTTCTAAAGTCGAATTCCATCCGCTATGTGTTAAGAACCCGGCTACCGAAGGGTGAGCCAGGACCCGCTCTTGTGGAGCCCAGCTCACTATGCACCCTCTTTCATCAGTCCCCCGAGATAACTCAATGGAAACTTTAGAATTCGGCGAATCTGAGCCCGATGGCCGGATAATCGAGCCCGGTCTCTGAACCCACAGAAACCGAACCCCACTCTTCACCAACCCATGCCATAACTCCATGAACTGATGCTCAGAGATGACGGCTAAACTTCCAATGCTAACGTAAAGAACTGATTTTTGGGGTTGTTTATTGAGCCATTCCATGCAGCTCCAGTCCTCCTTCCATATACTATTTGAAGTTTTGAGCAATTCTGAATCTATTCGGGCTTTCCGATGAGCGTGGAGCGGCCCAACGGCGTACACGTTGGGACTTATTGACCGGAATTGTTGTAGTATTGGGTCATCGATATCTGAGAATGTGTTGAAGATAAGCCCGTGTGCTTTAGGTAGATATTGAGCCTCGTTGAGCACGATTTGGATGATGGGGTCTTCTAAAATTTGTTTGGACTGACAAAAGCTTGGTAAGTCTCTTCGTCTTAGAATGTTTTCCATACCTGGTACACAACTCACCGGTGCATCCAAATCGTCTCCTTCAATTATATACATAAAAACAACATTAACACACATGCTAGTGCATCAGATCATGATTTTTCTTATGTTTAGTTTTTAATTTTAGTGATTTTTTTAGAACGATGGGATTATTAACTCCATTCAACTCTAAGTATTAATTATATATCATGTGCCCTTTGGTTGATTTTGTAGTTGCATGAACTTCTAATTGTTATTACTGCTGTATTCATATTTTCAAATTCTGATTATTATTCACGGATTAATGATATTTGATATTTCAAATAGGTAGGAGCTGAGGTGACATTCAAAATTTGTAAATTTGTTCATTTATTGATATTAGAGAGACATTATGTGATGAAACTAGAGACTAATATTAACTCATTCATATCATCTTATACAAAGTTATCAATGTGAACCGACTTGACCGGCCTATAAGACCACTAAATAGTAAGTTGGCTTGCCCCGGTACCTTCAAGTAATCAAGTCCCATTAGTTGGGCAGGCCAACTTGTCCTTTTTTCTTTTTCTCTTTTTTAGTATACACTGTAATTATATATATATTTTTTTAACATATAAGAATGTTGTAAAATACTACTCTAATATTTTAATTTCATTGTTACACCATTCAATATGCAATTAAGACATAAGTTTAGTGAAAACTAAACACTAAAGAATACACCAAGACTATATGATCTAATGGTATCCGGGTTGAATTTCGAAGATTGTGAATTTGAGTCTTAATGGAAGATATGAACAGAATACTAAAAAGCCGCCAAAATTGAAAATCATTTTCAACTTATAAAAGGGGTGGGTGAACTAGGTTTTTTTTTTTTTTAAGGAGTAAACTAGGCAAAACTTGTTTTGTCAGTTCTTGTGGATCAAATCAATTTTGGATTAATTAAATTGAACATAAAGATGCAGAAAGATTATATTACTAAAACGGAAGAAATTAAACTTTAATGGAAGATGATGAGGTGCAGTGCACTAACCTTGAAATGGAAGTTCTCCAGCTTCAATGAGTTTGGGAACACGCAAGTAAATCCAAACGGCACAAGGACTGATCGTGTCAAAATAGAACAGTGGAACTCCGATCTCTTTAGCAATATCGACGGCGAAAGGGAAAATCCCGTCAACTATGAGGCAACTCACCGGCTTCTCCGACGCAGAGCCGCCGGCGGTGACCATCTCCCGGAAAAGCGGGCACGTCACTTTCTCTATACACTGTATCATCTCCACTATCTGTTCCCCGGTTCTCGGGCTGTCTTCCGGCATGCCGTCCGGCAGCGTCTCGAACCGGAAGTTGGGGTACCGGCGGAAGCGCTCCTCGACGTCGGTGTAGCTTAGCAGGCGGCGGTGGACGTGGTCGGTGTTGAGGAAGGTGACGTGAATATCGCCGTGAACGCACAAGATCTCGGCCAGGTTTAGCATGCAATTCACTGGCCCTTGAAGTGGCAACGGAAAAATGAGGACGTGAGGTTGAGTCTCCATTTTTTCCGGTGATCGGCGATGGGGTTTGGCCGGGGAAGGCGATTTGGTCTAAGTGATAAGGTTCGCTGGGTTTCTGATTTGGTTATTGTCAAAGGAAAATGAAATGATCTTAGGATATATTCGGTACATGAAACTACCTTGAGAATACAAATATTTTAATGTATTATTTTAAGGTAAAGTCGTGGAATCATACGGCAAGTGCGCACTTATTCAATCCTCGGCAATATCAATCATGTGCTTGAATTTAGGGCACGAAAGCCAACCACAATGCGACAAGAGAGATGGATCAGCAAAGACAAAATCGATCCACAAAATTAGTTACCTGACTTGATTTAAGATTTTTTTTTTATACACTCTCACCTATTTCCATAACCATGGTCGAAGATGTAAATGGATATTGCTAACCGGGTGTTGGATACGTCGGTTGAATGTAATTAACTATGTTAGGAGCTATTGATCGGGGAGGTGAGAGGTTGAGATTTAGGTCGATTGTCTGACCCGGGTGCTGTGTGTAGTTGTGGTTGAAAGAGCTAGCTTCTTCGTCCTCTGGTGCTTGATACATGAACGGATATATGACGATCGAGGTCGGATACGCGTCTACAATGACTTTTCGTACCGGGTCCCCACAGACGGCGCTAAAATGATAGTACTAATATCCAAGTGTATGCAGTCTAAAAGTACTGAATGAGAACGAGTAGTAGTACTAAAGGTAGGGATGGCAATTGAACTCGTCCCCGACGGAAAAAATCGACCCCCGCCCCGACGGGGGCGGGTTCGGGGATTTTTTTCGGGGATCGGGGGCGGGGATGGGGGAAGTTTCCCAATCCCCGTCGGGGACGGGGACGGGGACGGGGGTGGCATTCCCCGCCCCGTCCCCGATCCCCGATCCCCGCCCCGTCCCCAAATACCCGACTAAAAATAGACTTAAATAGTATTATATATTTATATATAATATAATCTATAATATTAAAAATACTAAAATATTAAAAGTCTGCGGTAGTTTTAATTTAAAACTTCTACAGTTCTACAGTTCTACAACTCCTCTGCCACTCTTCCACGTTCCAACTTCCACGGACTGTTCTACAAGACTACAACTCCTCTCGCCATTCGCCATTAATCCCATTATACAGACTGTGTTCGCAATCGCCATTCGCAATCGTCATTCGCTATTCGCAATCGCCATTCGCATCCCTATATACAGTCGCTCGCGACGCCACCTCGCCCCATCACCGCCTTGCCGGACGATTTTGTAGTCTCTCGTCTCCGGTCTCCTTCCGCAGTCCGGCAGAATGTAAATTTTGATTTTATTTGAATCTCGCAGTCTCGCAATTTTCCACGTTCCACGGCAGTTTTTGTTTGATTTATTTGGATTTATGGAACATTGTTTTGAACCAATTCTTGTTGAATATTCCTGTGGTTGTGTTTCTGTTTTATTTTATTGTGAATTTTATTGTGAATATCGTGTTAGGAACCTAGGGATATCAAAATAGAGTGAATATCAGAGTAATGAAAATAATTTTTAACTTCATGTCAAGAGTAATTAAGAATTTCTTAATATTTTGTTAATCCCATTACGAGAATTAAACTAAATTCTCTATATTAGAAATAAATTTGTGATAAAGTTCTGATTTGGGTTGATTGGTGTCTCACCTTAAGTCATACTCCTTAAGCAACTTTATTGGTTTGATAATGTTTATTCATATTTCAGAAACAGTTTAATTAGTGTAGTTTAATTAATTTAATCTTTTAATTAATTTAATTAGTTTATTCTTTAGTTTAATTAGTTTAATCTTTTCATTAGTTTAATTAATTTATTTTTTCTATTGTTCATATATTATTACTTATTAGAATGGAAGGTGATGATTCTTACATAGGCGCCTGTGACTCATTTACTCCAACACCTATGAGTTCACCGGTAGAGTACCCTAATTCATCTCCCGTGGATTCACCTAGTGCTAGGAATGAAGAAGTCGAAATTCAAGAAACTCGAACAACTACCCAAACTGTTGAAGGTGAGCTTGTATATTTTTGTAGTTATTAAATTTACTTTTTGTTTATGTTATTATTTTGATTTTGCACTTATTTATTTATTTATTTATTTATTTATTTTGTTTGTTTTAACCGTTGAAGGTGAGCCTAAAGTTGGTGAGAAAAGATTATGGTCGATTGTTTGGGATCATTTTACAAAGATTAAAGTTGATGGCATATTCAAGGCAGAATGTAATTATTGTAAGAAGCTACTTGGGGGAGAGAGTAAAAATGGTACAAAATATTTGCATGATCATAACAAGATTTGTAGAATGAGGCCTCACCAACACCTTAGGCAACAAACACTGACCTTAAATAAAGACAAGGATGGAAAATTGAATGTAAACAGTTACACATTTGATCCCATAGGTACTAGACATGCACTTGCTCGTATGATTGTTAAGCATGAGTATTCACTTAATATGGTTGAGCATTCCGGTTTTAGGGAGTTCATGGGTTTTGCTCAACCTTTGATGAAGCTGCCTAGTCGGAACACAATTAGAGCGGATATTATAAAGATTTATGAGGCTCAAAAGACCACACTTATTGAGTCTATGAATAGAAGCTCTAGTAGGGTTGCATTGACTACAGATATGTGGACTGCAGATTATCAAAAGAAGGGATATATGGCTATTACAGCACATTTTGTCGATTACAATTGGAGTCTACATAATGTGGTTTTGAGGCATGTGCACTTTATGAAATTATTTATCTTGCAATTTTTGTATACAAGTTGACTACTTATTGTGCAATTTGTGAAATTATTTATTGTGTATTTATGTTAGATTTATTGTGTGTTTATGTTAGGTTTATTTTTGTCGAGCCTCCACATACATCATTGACTCTTTCACAAGAAATGTTGAAATGTATTTTGGATTGGAATCTTGAGAGAAAGTTGTCTGCAATAACCGTTGATAATTGTTCAACTAATGATGCTTTAATTAGGCATGTTTTGTCCAAGCTTAACCGTAAACATCTTATATTTGGTGGGAAATTTTTTCATGTGCATTGTTGTGCTCATATCTTGAATTTGATAGTGCAAGATGGGTTAAAAGTTATGGAGGATGGATTGGAAAGAGTTAGAGATAGTGTTACTTTTTGGTTATCTTCACCAAAAAGACAAAAACTCTTTAAAGAAAGTGCAACACATTTGGGTATAGAAAACTCAAAACAGTTAGTTAGCGATTGTAAGACTCGATGGAATTCTACTTATTTGATGCTTTCTGTTGCATTGCAATACAAAGATTTTTTTACCGTTTGGGACAACAAGAGTCTTCATTTCTTTGTGCACCATCGGAACAAGATTAGGAGTTAGCTGAGAACATTTGTGATAAACTAAAAGTGTTTTATAAAGCATCAAATGCATTTTCTGGTAGAAAATATCCAACTTTCAATGTTTTTTTCCTATTGATGTCTGAGATTAAGGTTAATTTGAGCAATTGGGTTGAGTCAACTGATTTGGTGATAACAAATATGGCTAAGAGAATGAGTGCAAAGTTTGATAAATACTGGGAGGAGGAGCATGGAATTCTAGCTGTAGCTAATGTTCTTGATCCAAGATATAAGTTTGGAGTTGTTCAATTCTTCTTTCAAACATTTTATGGAGATAAAGTTGCATCGGAAATTGAGAGGGTTAAGACATATTTATATGATTTGTGCCGTGAATATGAGTGTTCTTCAACATCAACACCTGCAAGTAAACGTGTCCAAGTGAATGAGACCATGACTCAAGGTGACCCAGTTAGGGATAAGTTGAAAAACTTTATGGAGGTTTCTCACACGGGTGCAAGTGAGACATCGTAGTTGGATTTGTATTTAGAGACTAAGAGGTCACCATTTGATGAAGATTTGGATGTTTTATCATGGTGGCAAGTTGAAGGGAAGAAATATCCAACTTTGAGTAAGGTTGCCAAGGATGTATTAGTTATTCCAGTTTCTACCGTTGCTTCAAAATCTGCTTTCAGTACTAGTGGTAGATTGGTGTCACCTCATCGTAGTAGACTCCATCCAAATATTGTGGAGGCATTAATGTGTTCTCAAAGTTGGTTGCTTGAAAGTAAGAAATTTTATTTAAACAGATTATTTTTAATTGATTATTCATTACTTTACGTCTTTACCATACTAAAATAATATTTGTAGGTGATAGCACTGTGGAGGATTATGAAATTAATGAAGATTTACTCCTTCCTCATCAATTAGAAGCAGATGCTTAGAGGTATTTATTAAATTATACTGTTTAAAAGTTTAACTAAATATATATATCATTATAATTATATTATTCAAATTCTTATTATTTTTCAGGTTATTGAAGAAGTGTTGAGCAGTGAGGACTGAGGACCACTACGACACTATTATTATTTTAGTAATTTGAAGTTTATTTTGTTTTGTTATGTACTAATGTACTTATGTAATAAGTAATATGTCTAGACTTTGGAGGAGTTTGAAACAATTTGAAGTGTTTAAACATTTTATGATTATTATTTATGTTTGAAAATTGAAAGTTGGAACTTTGAAAATTGTAAGTTTGGATATTTGTAAGAATTTTAGAATTTAGAGTTTGAATATTTTAATTTTATTAATCTTTGTATTTTGAATTTGGACTTTGTTTAAGGATTAACTATATAAATTTTTGATAATATTAGTCTTTATTTTTTTATATAAAAAATTGTTTTTTTTTTTTAAGTAGGCATAAATAAAAACGGGGCGGGGACGGGGAGTGGGGAAAGATTTCGGGAGCGGGGACGGGGACCCCATTCCCCGCCCCCGCCCCGCCCCGTTGCCATCCCTAACTAAAGGTTACTTTATTAATCAGAAGGTGACCTGATACAATCTAACTGGCTATCCCGAGGGCCGACTGACTGCGGTCGGGCTGCTCTGTAAATAGCCTATTGATCGTTCCAAAAGTCTCCTCACTGTAGCCGCCGTGGATATTTATAGCCTTTAGCCGGAGACAAACCTCCGGCCTACTGGCATGTAGCCCACGTAACGTCCACACGTCTTCACCCGGCGAACATTCTCTGTCAACGCCTAACATTGCCACGTGCCTCTCTCCAACATCTCCGTCTCTTCGTAAAGTAAAGACACGATGACCGGGAAATAACACCGGTCGGGAAGTCCATCGGTCGGGTCCGACCGCCTCGACTTAACGACGCCCGACTTAAAGATTCCGCACAAACTACAAGAAGAACTCATCTTATGTCGGTCGGGATATATCCTACAACGTGGGTTGCCCCGCAGACGTAGGAGAAGTGCTCCGAACTGTGTAACAATTTATTGTGTACTTGTTTTATTTTCTGCACTTAATTTTTGTTATTTATTATTGATAAATGACTTAATTAATGGAAATGATTACAACGTAACATAAAATCAAGTAGACCATTAGTACCATCTTGTATTCAAGATTCACAACACACTTTCATAAGCATTTAGTATGTAAATTGTATATTTTATATCTGAGTCCATATTGTAAAGTGGACCTCCTGATCCTGGTAAATACATAATGCATTCCTTGCTAATACACAAAATTTATATTTATAAAGCATAGAATTCATATTCATTATATCGTGTTTACGTATATATATATTATGAATATGAATTATATACATTATAAATATGAATTGTGTGCATTATGAAATCAAATTCAATGTATTGAAGCATAGTTTGCAGTGGGATATAATTTGCCAACCGCAATGGCTAGCCCAAGATTGGGCTTTTCCATCCACATATGGGCTTGTAATAGAAAAAGTGCAAAGCCCAATTTCCAATGTCAACTTGTTAGTTATTACAGTGACTAGGATCGCAAATTATGCTGTGCAACCGAATGCACCTTGCAAGGTGCATACGGTTGCAAAACGGCGCCGTTTTGGTTAAAAAAATGCGCGTCCCAATTAAAGAAGAAATCAGGTTCGATTCCTGGCAATAGCATTTTTATATATCCAGAAATTCATAACTATATAACCACAATTTCATAACTATATATCCACAATTTCATAACTATATATCCACAGTGAATGAATGAAGTAAAAATCCACAATGAATGAATGAATGAAGTAAAAATCCACAATGAATGAACTAAATATCCACAATATATGATTGAACTAAATATCCACAATGAATGAACTAAATATCCATAAATTCATAACTATATAACCACAATTTCATAACTATATATCCACAATTTCATAACTATATATCCACAGTGAATGAATGAAGTAAAAATCCACAATGAATGAATGAATGAAGTAAAAATCCACAATGAATGAACTAAATATCTACAATATATGATTGAACTAAATATCCACAACGAATGAACTAAATATCCATAAATTCATAACTATATAACCACAATTTCATAACTATATATCCACAATTTCATAACTATATATCCACAATAATGCGATTGCTGATAGTCGAACCTGATTTTTTTTTTTAAAGTGGGACGCGCGTTTTTAATCAAAACGACGTCGTTTTGAACCGTATGCACCATGCGCATGGTACATTCGGTTGCACAGCATAACTATTGGACTAGGATGAGCTAGAACTTTGTAGAAGAGAAATAGAGAATCAAGAGAATGACCTGGCAGGAGACACTACAACATTCCTTCGATTAATGATGACGTGTCAATGGTATAAACATCTCTAGAACTCCCTTGAACATACCAGACTTCACCTATCTTCTCTTCCGAGTTCTATAAATAGAAATCTCCGTCCACCGCATTCTTCAATCATCGGAAAAACATCTGTTTTCGCACATTGTAAAGAGATTTCTCGCCCAGAAAAAACAAAAAATGTCTCTGATTCCAAGTTTCTTCGAGGGTCGAAGGAGCAACGTCTTCGATCCATTCTCAATGGACATATGGGATCCGTTTCATGGCTTCTCAAACGCCGTGGCCAGCAGCTTCCCCGGCGGCGGCGCGGCGCGCGAGACCTCCGCCTTCGCCGCCGCCCGGATCGACTGGAAAGAGACGCCGGAGGCGCACATCTTCAAGGCGGACGTGCCGGGGCTGAAGAAGGAGGAGGTGAAGGTGGAGGTTGAAGATGGCAATGTGCTGCAGATCAGCGGGCAGCGAAGCAAGGAACAGGAGGAGAAGACTGACACGTGGCACCGGGTGGAGAGGAGCAGCGGCTCGTTCCTGCGGCGGTTCCGGCTGCCGGAGAATGCTAAGGTCGATCAAATTAAGGCGGCCATGGATAACGGTGTGCTCACTGTTACTATCCCCAAAGAGGAAGTTAAGAAGCCGGAGACGAAAGCCATTCAGATCTCTGGTTAAACCTCAACGAATCATCGTATGTTCGTATCCTCTGGTTTATGTCCGTACTATGTTTTGCTACTGTCCTGTTTTCTTCTTCCCCAGATGATGAATAAATGATGTTTACAGCAACACCTAGCGTTTAAGCTATGGTGATTTCTTGTACGTTTCTATCAATGTAATATGGAACGCCTGAGTTTTTTCTTTTGATAAGCTATATGCCCTATTTCAATTTTTTTTTTTCATTATTTATTTATTTATTAAGAGAGGCAATTTATTAATTCAAGTTTTTAAGAACATCCAATAGAAACTAAGAAAAATTAATTTAAGATTATAATACATTTAAGAGGGGTAGACTCTCACATATGATAGCATAAGCTTAATTATCTTTAACATATGATAGCATGAGCTTAATTATCTTTGACAAGTGCATGTACCACATTCAAACAATCTATTTTTACTACCAATGAGATTTTTCTTCTTGATCCTTAAAAGGACCTTCTTAGGGTATTAGTGTTACTCTAAAAAGTATGGATTATGGATTGAGTAAATTGTAATTTGCAATTTTAATGGCAACAAATTATAAGGATCTAAATTAATATAGGTTATTTATAGTTAATCTTTCTTGAGAAGAATCGTTATAATTAATGATAATATTGAGAATGTTTGGTGAATGACGATTAGCTGATTAGGTTAATCAATTTGACTAGTTAGTTGATTAAGATATTAGATTAGTCAATTTAACTAGTTGGCTAATTAAGACATTAAATTAATGAATTTTTGATTAATTGATAATATTAATTGATGTAATGATTTAATCACGTTACACAGATAACAGTAATTAAATAAGTCAAAATTAACTATATGCTAACATTTTAACAAACAGGACCAATGAGATTATAACAAACAGGACCAATGAGATAGTTTTTAAATTTTGTGGTTATTAAAGTTTGATTTTTTTATGGATGCAGTTATAGTCTTTAGAAGAACCATTATAAATAGTCCGCACAGGCTTAGTGGCATATTGAACTCATGAAGGATGATAAGAAGGATGGGGCTTTTCTGAGGAGAAACTTCCAGATTTGAAGTTGTAACAACAGATTTTCTGGTCAGGAATTTCTACGTAATCTCGTAATTGAACAACTGAACAAGTAATAGAGAACTCTGATTATATTATATTGCCAACATTAAAGACAAAACATTTACAAGAAGAAGTCGAATTGAACTTCAAACACCAACATTGAAGAAAGCCTTCCCAGTACAGTGAAACAACACAACCAGAAAACCAAACCGTCAACGTTTTTTTTTTTAAAACCTTATTAACACTGAAACATTTGGGCAAAGACAGTCAAACGTCGGAAATTAGCCGGAAATGTCGATGGATTTCACATCATGCTTCTTCTCCTCCTCCTTTGGAACTGTGACGGTCAGAACGCCGTTGTCCATGCTAGCCTTCACTTGATCCACCTTAGCATTCTCCGGCAGCCGGAACCTCCTGACGAACTTCCCGGAGCTCCGCTCGACGCGGTGCCAAGTGTCGCCCTTCTCCTCCATCTCCCGCTTCCGCTCGCCGCTGATCTGGAGGATCCGGTCGTCCTCCATCTCCACCTTCACCTCCTCCTTCCGGAGCCCCGGGACGTCCGCCTTGAACACGTGCGCGTTCGGAGTCTCCTTCCAGTCGATGCTCGCCTGCGCGAACGACGACGTCTCGGTAGACGACGGCGGGAAGTTGGAGCGGAACTGCTCGGAGAGTGGCCGGAAGTTGCCGATAGGAAACCCGTCGAATGGATCCCAGACGTCGAGGGAAAACGGGTCGAAAACGTTGGATCGGCGGCCGAAGAAACTTGGAATGATCGACATGATTGGATAGTGAGTAAAGTGTAGAATTAACAATCTGCGAGATTAAGCTTATGTTTTTCGGATTATTCCGGCGAGAATTGTCGACTTTAAAAAGCCGTTCCGGATAAAGTTCGAGGTTACTCTAGAGATTTCTCTTTCCAGAACGTTCTTAACAATCTTAAGCCACAAAAAAAGTTATATGAATTTGTTTCCTAAATTAGAGTATCCTATAGATTTTGTAGAGTTTTTTGTCTAGAAAAAGAGAAAATGATGGGAAGAGAAAAAGAAACCAAAAAAAAAAAAAAAACAAATTTTTAAAAAAAATTAAAATTAAAGCACCCAGTTAGACGCTATGATTGCACTTCACACGATTATAATGAAACATTTTTTCTTAGTGGGTCTCACAATTCTAATAAATGGGGGACGATTCTTTACACTCTCTCATCAATTATGCTTAAAAACATACAAAAACTTTCAATCCACTATTGTGGATGTTCTTAGCCTCTCTATGAACCGAGCGTATATGGATATCTTATACAACGTTATGAGCAGCTCAATAAATATTTGATTCTTAGTAATGTGGAAGTTATATTTAATATAGTGAGTAAGTATAAATATTAATTTTTATACTTAAGAAACTATTGAGTAACATAATTTGTCTATTCACTATTTTATTAGGTCATGTATATAAAATTTTAGGACAAAAAAAATTACTTTTTAAAGCAAGTATATCCGTATCTTGAGCCATTTGGGGATCATAACCACAATAGTTATAAATAATTTATTGCAATTAAAATTAAAATTAATATTAATACATTAATAATTTGTATATTTTGTTGAAAACCAACCAAAGAATGATTGTAATAATGAATCAAAGCTGCAATGCGGTCGGGGGATATAATCCCAATACATAGTTTAATCCTGAACAAAAGCTAACGAAGCTAGCGTATGCGCATGCGAATTAATCTGCCTAGAAACATATTTAACGAGACATAATTAAACGAAGAAATTAAACTCCTACATTGGTCTACCATGACCCCAACATAGGACATTATATTGGTTGATTCCTGTCGTATAGCATTCCTCAGTTGTATACAGTCTGTGAGAAGGGTGACCGTTGTTGTATTTTTCTCCAGTAGCCAGGATAGAACTTCCTTACATGCCAAAGTCTCCGCCATAAACGGCGACAAACAATTCGGGAGTCTTTCGTTTTTTGCCGTCAAAAAGGACCCTTTCGGGAGACAACAACACAATGCCGTATGTAGTCTCCACTGTGCCTTCTCGGTAGCCAGCGTCCACAAAAAATCGCGGCATGGCGTCTTCCCAGCTCTCCACCGTAGCAGCCGAGGACGCAGTTGGGCAGCGGCGTGCGATTTGCCGGAACGACTGCAGCGCCGCTGTGGCTTGTCTCCATGCTGCCGTAGGGTGAGGAAGTGCGGCGTCCCACACGGCCGTATTTCTGCATCTCCAAAGACGATAAAGCAGCGCCACTACGGCTTCACTTTGATCCTCTGTTAACATTATAAGCACAGCTGTTAGCCACTCAGGGAAAGAGTTGACAACAATATTTGTTACAGGCAGTCCTGAAATATTCCAAACATATTTAGAATAATCACAAGTAATCAATGTATGGATCACATCTTCATGAGCCACCCCACACATTTGGCATGCGTGATCCACTTCCACTCTCTTTATAATCAAATTATTAGTTGTAGGAAGAATATCACAAATTGCTCTCCACAAAAAAAATCTTTCATTTTGAAGGTACATTCATCCCCGCATTGTAGTCCATTTCTCAAACTCCCCTGGTGAGTGGTTATAAATCCCCATAATGTTCCTGTAGGCCTTCTTAACTGTATAAACCCCATTAGGGTCATCAGGTCAATACCATGAGTCTTCATATCCCGTACTTACAGGAATCCTCAATATCCTATCCACATCTTCCTCATTAAATAAGTCTGTTAAAATATGTGGATCCCAGGTAACAGTCTGGTCATCTATCAAACATGCTACCTTAGCAGAGCTCTACTGGCATGTTTGTTTGTATAAGGGGCTAGGATTATCAGGCAGTCATGGATGTCCCCAGATTAATGTCGTTTTACCATCCCCAATTCTCCTCCGCACCCGTGCCACCACCATACCATGGGCTGTCATAATACTCCTCCATGAGTAGCTTGGGCATCCTCCTACTTTGGCATCAATAAAAGAGGTACTCCGATAGTACCGAGCCTTATAGACCTTTGCAACAACGGAATTGGGACTTGTGAGTAGCCGCCATGCTTGTTTTCCCAACATAGTCACATTAAAACTCCTGAGATCCTTAAATCCCATCCCCAAATTTCTTTGGGATACTTAGTTTATCCAAGCTTTCCAGTGTATTCCCCTGTCCATATCAGTACCCCACCAATACTTGTTCATTGTTCTTTGAATTGATAAACACACTGTGTATGGGATCAAGAAAACACCCATTGAAAAAGTAGGTATGGATTGTGCCACACTTTTCAATAGAATTTCCTTTCCTGCCTGTGACAGAAATTTCTTGTTCCATGAGCCAATCCTCTGTTTACACCAAACAACCCGGAATCAAAATCCAGAAGATATTCCTACAAATTATGCACCTTAAGTATAATTTGTATACTTAAAAAACTATTGAGTAACGATAATTTATCTATTCACTATTTTATTAAGTTATGTATGAAATTTTTTTAACAAAAAAATTTACTTTTTAAAGCTAGTATATCCGTATCTTGAGCCATTTGGGGATCATAACCACACTAATTATAAATAATTTATTGCAATTAAAATTAATATTAATACCTATTAAGTATTTATAAATAATTTATGGCAATTAAAATTGATATTAATACATATTGAGTATTTATTCAGTGATGCTTATTATTGTATGTATAATGTGTTTGGAATTGTTTAAAAAAATTACATTTCGATCGGATTCTTTACTTGTCATAGCATTATAAGTTTAATTTTGAGTGAAAGTGATTTATTGGTCTTTTTTATTTGAGTCGATCAACTATGAATAAGCTACACTGATTTACTTACAAGGCAAAATGACATTTATGTCTACATTTTGATCCAACTTATATTTTTAGGAGCATTCTTATGGTTTGTTAGAAGAACACTCCCATTTAAACGCCCAAAATCTACTAACTGTCTAACTGTCACATTTTCTCTCCTTTCATCAACCTGCAAGAACTTGTTCATTGAATTCCATAACGTTTCTGAAAATAATCCTTTTTCACTAGAATTCTACGTAGAGAATTGATAATTATAACAGTGATTATACACGATGATGGCCGAAGATCTCGGCATCGAGGCCAAGGAGGCGGCCGTGCGGGAGGTTGCAAAGCTTCTGCCGGTGCAGGAGGTTTTGCAGTCGATCTCTTCGATCAAAGCCGACTACATAGCTCGCCAACAGGTTACGCAACAACAAACGTTTCGTGCAATTTTATTGCCTGCAAATGATTAACAAATTTATAGCGTGTAAAATTTCGATTGTGTGTTTTCTCAGGCCAATGATGCGCAACTTAGTACAATGGTTGCTGAACAGGTATGTGCGCGGTTCCATTTGAAAATTTAATTTTCATAGATTAATGTTTCTCCAGTTTTCCTGCACAACATTCTGGTTTCCAGGTTGAACAAGCACAAGCTGGTCTGGAATCGCTTGCTTATGCTCAGAAGACCATAAGTCTGCTCCGAGATAACTTCGTTTATATTGAAAAGTATTAATATTCATTCTCTATGCTTTTAAAATCCATATGCATGTAGGAGAGTTCCTGTTTGTCTTTGAAGCGTCATTGTTATCTGAACATTTCAATTTCATGGTTTTCCCCCATTTTTCAGGCTATGCACAGAATGCCAAACGTTAATTGAAAATCATGATCAGATAAAGGTTCTTAGTAATGCAAGGAATAACCTGAACACTACTTTGAAGGTGGATGCTTCTCTTTTTTATTGCTCATGAGCTGTTCAATAAGTTAAGGAGTGTTAATGTAGAAAGCTGGTGTAGGCAGTTAATTTGAATAAAAATAAGGGATGTTTACCAGAAGTTCATCATGGCACTAAATTATGGTGCGGGGCAAGCAGACTCATTGGTTTATCCCAGCTATCATTAATTATGAATTTAGTACATTTAGTCTGCAATTTTTTGTTTGTATGTTTGGCATACTTTAAATTTCAAGTGAGTGGCTGTGACTAGTGATTATTTTCTACTGATATTTGGTTGGGGCTGACAAGTGATCTGTGTAATTTATGGGGTTTGGTATTTATCTGTTGTAGGATATTGAGGGAATGATGTCAATTTCTGTTGAGGCTGCTGCAGCGCGGGATTCCCTAAGTAATGATAAAGAACTCATCCACACCTATGAGGTAATCATTCCATATAAATTATGCTTCTTGTCACTGTTGGTATCACTTCTCCCAAAGTTTGATACTAATTCTTTCTTTCTGCAATGACTTGAATTTAATAGAGGTTAACAGCTCTTGATGGAAAGCGTAGGTTTGCATTAGCTGCTGCTGCTTCTCATAAGGAAGAGGTTGGCAGACTAAGGTCAGTTTCTTTCCTTCGGAGTTTGGCAATCTTGTGATATTGAGTAGAATTTCCTCCCTTGTTAACACTCTAGTGTGGTAAGTAGGATTTTCTTTTTCTATCGGGTTAAGTTTTGACCAAAAGTGGAACCTGTTTTGAGCAATTCAAGAGTGATATGCATGATGGGGAATTAGCCTAATATGGCTTTCCCTGCTTAACTTTTAGCTGAAAGTGGACCAGCCTTGTTATGTTTTGCATCATAATATACATCATTTCTATTTTGAGTAAACAAGGAGTGAGTAAGATCTTTCAAATCTTACTTCTATCTATAAACCAAATCCAGAATGGGTTAGTTCAAAACACAAGCCAACGGTCACTAACCAGATGAAAGACAGTATGGAATTATAGTCTTTGTTCTGAGTGATCATAAGGGATTTTGGTTCACCTTTCCAAAGACTAAAAAATGATGGTTTTAGTTTATTAAGATGATCATGAATTGCAAAGTGAGACCATTTGGTATTTTGGTCTTTTGTGGATCTTCTGTAGTGATTTTATCTTTATATGCATGCTAATTAAATTGTTAAATTTGTGTACTCTGTTAACAATTAAAATGAGTACTGAAAATAAAAACCGGTATGTTTTATTGTCTTCATATGATATAACCTTCTGTTAGCTGTCTTCTTGTTTCCTTTTTGATTTCTTTCATTCATTAGATATGCTTGCATTCTTCAGAAAAATTAATCTTGAATCTGTGTTATCTTTCATTCTGTTAAGAGTCCCACATTGAAAATATAAAAGAGAATATATGGGTTTATAAGGCCATGGGTTAGACTAGCTAATTGATTGGATTCTTTTTTAGTGTGGTTTGGTCCATGTTAATTATAGCCCAATTGAGTGACCTTAGCCTAATCTTAGATTATAAACACATTCATTAGTCCAGATTTAGATTTCCTCATGATTGTTTGCAGAACTTGTACTTTCTAGTTTCTAAACCTGAATGCGTAACATTGTCAGGGAATATTTTGAAGATGTAGATCGCACATGGGAAACATTTGAGAAAATATTATGGGCTCATATTGCCAACTTCTTGAAACTTGCTAAAGAGAGGTATATTTTATCATCTTTATTTGCAATTAAAGCATCGGAATCTTTTGAACAAATAGGCTACTAACAAGCAGTAAGAGGTCATTTGGTTTCTTAATGTTGTACAGAAGAATGAAGTTATCTTCCATAATTTTTAATTTTCAAGCACACAAGTAATTGTTTTCCACTGTTAATGTGATTGCCTATAGTGCAGTAAGTTCCTCTTCTATTCTGATTGACATCCATTGAGAAGTTTTTGACATTTGTTCTGTTGCAGCCCACAAACACTTGTTCGAGCTATAAGGTATGGTTGTCTTCAGTACAACGTGTTAACAGCTAATCTATCAAACCTTTTTATCATTTAGACAAGATAGTTGTATTTCAAAGATTCAGGTACTAAAACAAAATAGATGGTAGTATTTAACATGATTGGGATGGCAGCTGTATGCTATATTCAATGCAACTCACAATCTTCACATTCATGAACACTTTAATAATATGAATACCATTTGGCGTTCATGTATACTTGCAATCTGGTTTGTACTGTTAACAATTTAGGCTTTATTCTGCTTGTACTTAACTCCACTTTCTTTTCCAGGGTTGTTGAGATGCAAGAAATCCTAGACTTGCAAGTTGCTGAAGAAGCAGCTGAGGCTGAGGGAGATGAGGCAATGGCAGCAATAACAAATCCTCGAAAAAATTCCAAGTATGTGCAGTATGCTGATTGATTTAATGTTATCCATTTCTTGATATCTTATCACAACACAGCTGTTACCCCAGGTCTTGGTGCTTTAACTTGCTAATTGTAGATTTGCTTCATTTCTTGCATCAATTACTTACTTTACTTACCTTAATTTCGTTTGTATTTGATGCTTATGAAGTTTATTTCATGCACGAACGAGTCTGAATTCTAAGTTTATCTTTGGCCTGCAGAAAATTTAATAAGGCACCAGCTTCTTCTAGGAATCTTATGCAGCAAAAGGTGAAGGTTCAAGGAAAAGGCTACAGAGATAAATGTTATGATAGTATAAGAATGTCTGTTGAAGAGCGTTTTGACCAGCTGCTCAATGAGGAAGAACTTAAAACAGCTATAGATGAAGCAAAATCGGTACAACATAAATTTTAACTTTTGAATGCCTTGTTTGCCTTAGTTTTAATAAACTTTTGAGTACACATAGTAAGGTTAGGCTTTTGTAAATTCCAGATGGGGGAAGAGCTTGGAGGTATATATGATTATGTGGCTCCTTGCTTTCCTCCAAGGTTTGTCATCTATGCTACTGTTCTGCTCTCTTGTAATTTATTAGAGATCATGCAATATATTAAAATTCCAAGCAAACCTGATATGCTAGCCAATCATTTTTCTTTTCTTTTTGTTTTTTCCTCTCAATTCTATCTATCTAAAATGATTAGATTTTTTCATGATCTTAATTTGCCATCAGTGTCACTTCTCATCTGTTGACCTCCCATACAATGAATGGGAAGAAACGTTCAATATATGAATGGTTTTATTTATTTATTTATTTACTTATCATGTTTCAGATATGAAATTTTTCAGCTCATGGTTAACCTTTATACTGAGAGGTTTATTCAGTGGCTGAGAAAACTTAGTGACCAAGCAAATAATATGACAAATATAGAGATTTTAAAGGTATGAAATACAAGGATTTGATTCCAAATAATATGAAAAATATAGAGATTTTGATTACATAATGTGGTTTATGTATTTCTTGATTCATTAAATTAGGTAACTGGTTGGGTGGTTGAGTACCAGGAGAGTTTAATTGCACTTGGAGTTGATGAGGCTTTGGCTCAAGTTGTTTCTGAAAGTGGTTCAATGGATCCCCTCATGACTGCATATGTTGAGAGAATGCAAGCAACATCTAGGGTAATAAACGTTTTTGGTTTATGTAGTTTGGCAGGTCCTGCCTTTAGTGTTTAACATATTATATGCCTGTATCCTTTGGTTTCATTGCTTATCAATCACATTGTTTTTACATAGAAATGGTATACGAACATTCTAGAGGCAGATAAAGTACAACCACCAAAAAGCACCGATGATGGAAAACTATATACACCTGCTGCTGTTGACCTGTTTAGGATCCTTGGAGAGCAAGTGCAAATAGTGCGAGACAATAGCACTGATGTCATGCTATACAGAGTTGCTTTGGCACTAATTCAGGCAAGTCCAACTCGCAAAAAATCTAATTTCAGTGAGTTCCACTTGCTATTTGTTGAAGGAGTTTGGAGAATAAAGTATTGTCTTGTTATTTACACTCTGTCTACAAGCAAATACACAGTACCATATATATAGGTAGAAGATGGAATACTAATAGAGCCCTAGGGACACTAACCGACATAGCCCTAGGGATACTAACAGACATAGAAACTGAACAGTCATAGGAAATAATAAAAGCATAATAATGAGTCTCAACATCCCCCTCAAGCTGGAGCATGAATATCAAAAGCTCCAAGCTTGGTACACAAATATTCAACTCTGGGACCTCTTAAAGCTTTGGTGAAGATATCAGCCAACTGATCATTTGTACCCACGAATGAGGTAACGATTTCCCCGGATGTAATCTTTTCGCGAATAAAATGACAATCGACTTCGATGTGTTTTGTTCTCTCATGAAAGACAGGATTGGATGCAATATGCAAGGCTGCTTGATTGTCGCACATCAGTTTAATAGGCCCTTTCATGCAAAGATTTAATTCAGTCAAGAGATGCTTTAACCAGATTAGTTCACATGTTCCCAAGGCTATTGACCGATATTCTGCCTCTGCACTTGATCGAGCCACCACATTTTGCTTCTTACTTTTCCAAGATACTAGATTGCCACCAAGAAAAACACAGTATCCTGATGTTGACTTTCTATCCCAAGAGCACCCAGCCCAATCTGCATCAGTATAACCAACAATCTCTGTATTTCCACGATCCTTGTATAAAACACCGTTCCCGGGAGACTTCTTGATGTATCGTAGGATCCTAATGACAGCTTCCCAATGGCTATCACACGGAGAAGCCAAGAATTGACTCACAACGCTAACTGCAAAAGAGATGTCAGGGCGAGTGACGGTTAAGTACAACAATTTTCCAACCAATCTTCGATATCTTCCTGGATTTGAAAAGGGCTTCCCTTGTTCCGGTACAAGCTTAATGTTAGGATCCATGGGAGTATCAATAGGTCTGCAATCACTCATACCTGTTTCCTCTAATATGTCTAAAGCATATTTTCGTTGAGATATACAAATCCCTTGCTTTGACTGGGCAACTTCTATCCCTAAGAAGTATTTTAATTTTCCAAGGTCTTTTTGTCTCAAAATGTTGGAAAAGATGTTGCTTTAGCTGGAGTATTCCTTCTGCATCATCTCCTGTGATAACAATATCATCGACATAAACAACAAGATAAACGCTCTTACCATGTCGATGCCGGTAGAATACATAATGATCCACTTTGCTTTGGACTAACCCAAACTCTTGCAGAACTGTACTAAAACGTCCGAACCAGGCACGTGGAGACTGTTTCAATCCATAAAGAGAACGTTTTAATTTGCAAACCAAATCAGTCTCCCCCCCTTGAGCAACAAAACCCGGAGGTTGCTCCATATACACCTCTTCTTTTAGATCCCCATGTAAAAAGGCATTCTTGATGCCTAGCTGGTATAGAGGCCAATGATGGATGGCAGCAATAGACAGAAAGATTCTGATAGAAGAGATCTTGGCTACGGGTGAGAACGTATCAGTGTAATCAACGCCAAACACTTGAGTATACCCCTTGGCTACAAGTCGAGCTGTGAGTCTATCTATCTGTCCATCAGGCCAAACTTTGACATTATAAACCCAACGACAACCAACAACTGTTTTGTCAGGAGGTAATGGAACCAAGTCCCAAGTTCCCGAGGATTGCAAAGCAACCATTTCATCTACCATAGCTTGCTGCCAACCAGGATGGGAAAGAGCTTCCCTAACCGAATTAGGAACAAAAACAGATGATAAACTGGAGATGAAAGCATTGTAAACAGGGGAAAACCGGTGATAAGAGACAAAATTATATATAGGGTAGGGATTGCGAGTAGACCGGTTACCTACCCGACTAGCAATGGGCGGACTGGAGATTGGAGCAGGACCCGAATCCGAGGGAAGAGACCGCTCAGGAGATGAATCAGCAGGTTCAATGTCTGCAGCAGTAGTGGTTGGTGGTAATTTTGACCGACGATGATAGGTGAACTGGAAAGGAAAAACAGTGTGGGTTTGTGATGGATTGGGAGGTAGGACAACAGGAGATATTGGTATTTCTGTCCCTCCTTCAAATGAGGGAACTGGTAGGACATCAGGAAAAGGATCCGCCACCCTTATAGAGTCAGATGAAAAGAACGGAGTGTACTCAAAGAAGGTAACATTTGGTGATACATAGAATCGCTGTGTCTCAGGACAATAACACCTGAACCCTTTTTGAACCCTAGAGTACCCCACAAAAATACATTTCAAGGACTTGGGTGACAGTTTATCACGACCAGGAGTAATATCCCGAACAAAGCAAGTGCAACCAAAAACCCTCAGCGGAAGCTTGTGTAATGGCTCTTGAGGAAACAATATGTTATAAGGTATTTTGCCATGTAGAACAGACGATGGCATACGGTTAATAAGGTAACATGAATGGAGGATAGCATCTCCCCAGAAATAAGAGGGAACCTTATAGTGAAGGAGCATAGTCCGAGCAGTTTCCACTAGATGCCTATTCTTTCGTTCAGACACACCATTCTGTTGTGGAGTATCTGGACAAGAAGACTCATGGAGAATACCTTCAGAGTCAAGAAGGGTAGACAAAGGAGTATTGAAATATTCCCTGGCATTATCACTTCGAAGAATTTTAATAGAGACTCCAAATTGATTCTTGATTTCATTATGAAATTTCTGAAAGATGTTGAATAGATCAGAACGTCGTTGCATTAGGAAAACCCAAGTACAACGTGAAAAGTCATCAATAAAAGTAACAAAATATTTAAAACCTAACACAGAAGTGACACGACAAGGACCCCAAATATCACTGTGAACTAAGGAAAAAGGGGATGAGGACACTTTATTAACCCGTTCAGGAAAGGAGGTTCTTGAATGTTTCCCAAATTGACAAGATTCACACTCTAGTGAAGACAGCTTTGAGAGACTCGGTTCAAGTTGTTGTAGTTTCTTCAAACTTGGATGACCTAGACGACAATGAGTTAGGGAAGGAGAAATAGTAGCACTACAGACAGCGGAAGCAGGAGTGGATAGACGGTATAACCCTTTTGATTCATACCCCGAGCCAATCGTCTTCCCCGAACGACGGTCCTGTATAATAACCGAATCAGGAGAAAAGGTGACAAGACAATCAAGAGAATGAGTAAGTTGACGAATGGAAATCAAATTAAAAGGACAAGTAGGTATATGCAAGACTGATGACAAGGGTAAATCAGGAAGAGGTCTTGCTTTACCAACTCCTTTAGCAGAACATATGGATCCATTACCAAACACAATGGACGGAAGAGACTTAGAGTTTGTGAGATGGGTCAATAAGGAAGAATTACCACATATATGTTCGGAGGCACCTGAATCAAGGACCCATGGTCCGAGAGGTCCAGATTGAGAAACAAGGGCAGCATGAGTCTCTCCCGTATGAGCCAAAGGACTGAAAACAGTAGCTTGGGCATTAGCCTTAAACCGTGCAAACTCTTCATATTCTGCAAGAGAGACATTTTTAGAACCTGATTCTTCTTGTTTGAGTTGAGCCACATTTGTAGGAGCAGGCAACGGTTTCCCGTGCAGTTTCCAACATCGGTCCCGTGTGTGTCCAGATCTATTGCAGTAATCACAGTATCTAGCATTTTTCTGCCCACTACGGTCTTTATTCCGGTTGCCCAGATTATTACCACGACTTCCTTGGATCACAAGAGCAGATTGTTCTGTAGTGGATGCAGAAGTTTCACCAGGAAAAGAGGCCACTTGAAGAAGGCGTTTGAACAACTCTTGGACCCCTGGCACACCTTTATCCCCAAGAATCTGGTTTCGAGTATTCTCAAACTCGGGGCCTAATTTAGTCAAAACCAGAACAACAAAAAACTTTTCACGTTGGGCAATCTGTTCATCAGGTGTCCCTCCAACGGGTAAAAGCTTATTAAACTCAGTTAATAAACTTTGAGTTTTCCCAAGAGAGGCTTCCATACTCATACCATCCTTCTTTAAATTAACCAAATTATCAACAACTGTGTAACATTGTGAAATATCATTAGTGTACAAGGATTTGGCTTGATTCCATACCTCAACACATGTTTTAAAAACTCTAAATAGTTGAATTAACTCAGGTGAAAGGGATTGCCATAGAAGACTACAAAGTTGTGCATCCACCCTTTTCCAAATTGCCTTCTCATTTTCTGGTACCTCAGTTTCTACCCCATGTTCCAAGTGGTCAATAACACCCTGGCCCATAAACCACATTTCAACGGCATCCGACCAAGAATGGTAGTTTTGTGACCCACATAATTTTTCAGAGGTAATAACTGGATTTCCAGATAAATTAGGCACAAACACTGAGCGAGAAATAGCATTTTCAACATTGGTAGAAGTTTCCTCGGTTCCAGTTGAAGACATGGTTGATAAAAAGGAAGAATATTACCAGGAAAGCCAGAGGGTCGAAAATGGAACTGGAAAATTTCGCATGAAAAAATTGCCGGAGGAGGTCTCACGCGCCGGCGCGTGGAGGCGCGTGACGGTGGGAGGCAGCGCGTAAGGTGGCGCGTGAGGGCGCGTGCGGCGGCGGTTTGCGACGGGACTTCGACGGCCGGGGTCGCCTGCACTTCCAGACCGGCGGTGGTTCTTCGGAACTTTATGAAAACTTGCGATGAGGAGTTTTCGAAGAGGAAGCGTAGACAGACCCTGCACTGCTACTGTTCATCCTCGAAAATACTGTTCATGCTCGGAAATAAAAAGGGATTCAGGCCAATGGTGGCTCTGATACCATGTTGAAGGAGTTTGGAGAATAAAGTATTGTCTTGTTATTTACACTCTGTCTACAAGCAAATACACAGTACCATATATATAGGTAGAATATGGAATACTAATAGAGCCCTAGGGACACTAACAGACATAGCCCTAGGGATACTAACAGACATAGAAACTGAACAGTCATAGGAAATAATAAAAGCATAATAATGAGTCTCAACACTATTAATACTCAAGTCAACAAAGAAGAGGGAAAGTGCACTGTGCATATGCCATTTTACATGTGCTAAGGATCCTGTGCTCTTTGTGTTGAGTACATATGCCATTTTACATGTGCTAAGGATTTTGTGCTCTGAAATTACTCCAGACATTATGGCAGGTTGGCAGTAAGTATCATTTCCATAGTAGTTGTCCCTTCTTTTGCTCATATATATAGTCCATGTTCTTGCAGTAGTAGTGAGAAAGGCTTGGAGTTGAATTTCAGGGACAGAAGGAATTTAATTGAGGACTCAAATTCATTTTCTGTTGTCACTAACTGCACAATTGAATATGATAGTGTGATAGTAATAAGCTTTTGAATAAATGATGATGGTGATTGTCTGCTTCAGTCACAGGAGCTCTTCCAAGGGCATAAAATCTCAATACTATTTGCCTCATGAAACTCAGTTTTTCGAGGTGATTTTCTTATGGAATATGTGCTTTCTGTGAATACCTTGCCATTTTCAGTCCACCTCATCTTGGGGTGATCCAATGTCTACATCCACCATTTACCATTCACTGAAATTCCTTCTTTCTTCTTGTCTTTTGATTGAACAATTGGATATTTTAGATGACTTAATATTACTTTTTAATATATATATATATATATATATATATTCATTTTGAAAAGAGAATAATCTAGATGGCATTACATTCTGTCCCTATAAAAGATGTGAGCAATTAATTCAACTTTCCGTCGAATAGTTTGCTGATGTCAATTTCCTTGTTGATACGTTAAACTTCAACTTTAATGAATTGTGGATTTCATGTTTATATGATTCTAGCTTCAACATGTATATCTTTGTATTTTCTCAATCAGTTTTATGAATGAACTTTTTTTCAGCATATACTACTGCCCTATTTTTCAGGTGATGAGTGATTTTCAAGGAGCTGAAAGAAAGAGATTAGAAGAACCAGCCGCTGAAATTGGTCTGGAACCTTTATGTGCAATGGTTTGTAATATATATGCATGGGTGTATAGTCACAGTGTAGTGGATATCTAAATATCTTCCAAAACCATTACATGATCCAATACAGATTTTGCTAATACAGTATTGTAACAGATAAACAATAATCTTCGCTGTTATGATCTTGCCATGGAGCTGAGTTCTAGCACCATTGAAGCTCTTCCAGAGAATTATGCTGAACAGGTGATTAAAGTTCTCTCGCTCTCTTTCATTTACATGTAGGAAGTTGAGCTGGATTTCTTTGTAGAAAGTGCAGCAGCATCAAGAGTTTTCTCCTCTTGCATGATTGCGATATATATTTGCTTTTTAGTTTTTATTGCCTCTCGCGTTCTGCCTTTACATAAAAAAGTATTTTTGTATCCTGGAGGTGAGCTCTTGTGGTACTAGCAAGAGTAGTATACACATATTTTCCTTTGTCTTTACCATCTTTGTTTTTGCAGGTTAGTTTTGAGGATACATGCAAAGGCTTTCTGGAGGTTGCGAAGGTATACAAAGTTCATCAGAGACATTTAATAAAACTAAGTTTTCTTGTATTCCTTGATTGCTTCTTTATCAATATCCTTAACTCTTCAGTATTCACTAGATTGTAGTATATTTTGTATTGTTGAGTGGAAACAACATTTTTGCATCCGGGGTTGAATTGAATCCAATAATGAAACATTTAAGAATGTTGAATGATAACTAGATTGTTCTGGCTGATTCCAGGAAGCTGTTAAGCAAACGGTCAATGTCATTTTTGATGATCCTGGAGTGCTGGAATTACTCGTCAAGCTGTATAAAAAAGGTGACTCATTTTTTCTTTTGCATATTGGCTAGGTTTATGGGAGAGTATTCATGTTGGAAGTATTCCTTGTCTTGTAATTTCAGAGTGGTTGGAAGGACAGGTTACAGAGTATCTGGGGGCAACGTTTGGGGATTACTTCACAGATGTGAAGATGTAAGCATCTCTAAATAACGGTAGCTCTAACTGATGTCTGAGGCAATTCCAGAACACTGCATTAAAACTGCTCATTTCGGCATTTATGTTTTATAACGTACCAAGGTACATTGAGGAAAGATCGTTTAGGCGTTTTGTTGAGGCTTGCCTGGAAGAGACTGCGATTGTTTATGTGGACCATCTGCTTACACAGGTAGCATATCACAAATCAATTCTCGTGTTTATAGCTTTGCTTTCTTTTTGTCAGCTAATCGATTTGTGAATATCTGATACTTGTAGAAAAATCATATCAAGGAAGAAACAATAGAAAGGATGAAGCTAGATGAAGAGGTTCTCACGGATTTCTTTCGCGAGTATATTAGCGCTTCTGTAAGCCCCGTCACTTGCTAACTGAACTTTGGACAAGGCTAAACATTGAATTTTCTCTTCTTTTTTTTTTTGGAATTTTCTCACATATTTAACCCTGCTTCTGTGCTTCTACATATCAAGTTGTTTTCCACTCATAAAATCTTGAAATTTTTACGGTTGCAGAAAGTAGAGACAAAACTAAGGATACTTGGTGACATGAGAGAACTTGCTTCTGCAGAGAGCCCCGAGTATTTCACGCTTGTGTATACAAATATTCTAGAGCATCAACCGGATTGTCCTGTAAGTCTTGAAAGAAACTATCATGCTTACCAGATACATATGGGTTTATATTCTTGTTTTTAGTTGTGGTCTCTCTTTTCAAGTTTGTGTTGTTAAGATATGCAATTCTTGGATTGCAGCCAGATGTTGTTGAAAAGCTTGTGGGGTTGCGAGAAGGAATACCGAAAAAAGATGCAAAAGAGGTTAGTATGTATAAAAAGTTTTTTTTTTTCCTCGCACATCAAAATTCTAATTCAATAAATATAAGTAAAATGAAAGCAAACTCTAGCTAAGTTAGTCGGACAGTTAACTTGGTAATGACAATGTTTCAAGTTCAACTCTTCATAAGAGTTGTCTATTATTTTATTGCATTGAGTCGGTTAGCTATGAGGCAACCTAGGTGGCTTCACCCAAAGTGAAAACCTATGTGACTTCATCCAGAGCGCACATTACAATAACGACGTACTGTGGACTTTGTTAATATAAGATTCCAAGTTGGACTCATAGTGTTGGAATTGCCTATTGGTTTGATTTGAACTGGTTAGCTATTGATAACTTAGATTGATTTACCTATCTTCTTGTGGGTTTTCTCCTAAATCAAAATACAAGTAGAAATATTATTTATGTAAAGCACTTTGCCCATTTTACATAAGCTTGAGTCTCTTTTATCAAACAGGTGGTTCAAGAATGCAAAGAAATTTATGAAAATTCTCTGGTTAATGGCCGCCCTCCAAAGACGGGGTTTGTTTTCCCAAGGGTCAAGGCCCTAACGCAATCCAAAGGTGGTGTTGCAACAATATGGCGAAATTTCGGGTAGTTTCGGTACAAACAATAACACTGAAGAATTTGCATTTAGATCATTCAAGCGAGCTCAGCAGACCCGCTGTTTTTGTTTTTCTTACCGCATTGGTGTTATCATTTTTTGTAAAATAAAATACAATTACATTGAATAAAAAGTAGATACAATACTATAAAACTTCTCTAAATTTACAATAATATCATTTTCTTCTTCATTGTTTTACCTTATTATTATTAGATTGCAGAGTTAATGTGGTAACTAATCATGTTTTTTTTCTGGAGGATAAGAGTGCAGATAGTTTATCAGCTCCCTTGGGCTTGTTGAACAAGTCACTGGGAGGCAAGAAAGAATCAGCAGACAGGCCCTTAACGTTAAAGTCCACTTCCTCAATGCTCCAAACCTCTTCCATCCTCGTTATGGTGTGAGGTTCGGAGTTTTCGTCCAATCGCGACAACGAAACCGACGTTCTGCCGGCGTGAGCTATGTTGACTCCTTTGAGGGTGCGGTAGTCTTGGATGAGCGACGTCATGGTGGTCTCCCAGAGGACGTCATGGTTTCCCGGCGACTTGATTCTGAGAAGGTGGGAGTCTTGTAGCTGGATTAGGAGGCCGGTTCTTTGACTGAAATAGCCCCACACTGTGTGCCTCACTATCTCCACGTTGCTGCTGCTCCTTGCTTTCAGAGCTGTGGGTTCCGCTTCCAGCTTCAGGACAAAACACTCCTCTCCGTTCACCGTTCTCTCGCCGCTGCATATTGAGTTGGAGAATAGATTTGCTGTTGACATTGGATCCAGACCCTGCCATGCACACAAGGAGTCCATCACATTAGATATTTGAGTGTAATTCTCACGCTGTTAAGGCTCGATTTATGCTTCTTATATATATATATATATATATATATATATATATATCAAGTTCCTGTGAGAACAGGTCTTCAGGTCTTCCATTGCGGCCAGTGTGACATACACCATTAAGTATGCATAAGTGCACCACACAATGTTTCAAAAATAAACCATTATGTGTGGTGTATTTTTTTTTTTTTGTGGTGCATTTTTTGACATTTCCTTTTAGCATATTTTCGAACACTGTATGATGCATTTATGCATATCTAATGGTGTATGCGGCACTGACGCACATAGAAAGACCTGTTCTCACAGGAACCAAAATACATACATATATATATATATATATATATATATATATATATATATATATATATATATATATATATATAAACTAGCCTAATTCATTCATAATCGAGTAAGTGACCCACGACTAAGAGCTAAATTTAGAATCTTGTGTTATTAAGTTAAAAAAAGTGCAACGAGTTATTTGATTATTTTATGTCTCTTTGGAACCAATTAACACTAAAAAGTAAAAAAGTTAGCTAAAGGGTACCTGTAAGGTGCGACGAAGGGGTCTAGGTGGACCACGGGCAGCATGAGAATTATGCCAGGGGGTTTGTCGCCAAGCCACCTTGCCGTCGCTGCCAGCGCTGATTTTACAGCCGGAAACCAGCAGCTCCAAGCTCCAAAGATCCGGCCTCTTCTGCCACACAACAAAACCACCCATTTCACCCTGTGCTCCATTATTGCTCTTCCTCTTCATCATCTTCATCACCTTCTTCTCGCCGCCGTTCAAACCAGACCCTGCATTATCTTCGCACACAAACGCTGACGCCACCTTCACCTTACCCATCGCATACATATTCTCAATGCAACCCATCGCACTCTCTCCTCCCGCCGCCGCTATGTACTGCAACACTATATACTTCGCCATCGCCGTCTCCTATACAGTAGTAACCAACAACTCTCACTTTCCGATCAAGTTAACGTATGTATACTGTTGATTTCAGCATATATAATATATATACTTACAATGGGGTGATCGTTGATTTTGTTGTTAGGGAAATGGTGGGGACGGACCGGGTGAGGGATAAGAGGAGCTCCGATGACGCCAAGCAAGAGCTGAATTTCGCCGTTCCGGCCGCCGGAAATGGAGGATTCCCGGTGGGATTTCACCCAGGCTTTCACGTCCTTGGGAGAGGAGTATACTTCATCCGGTATCGGAACTTCAAGAACCGTTTCTAGCCCATCCATTCTGTCCAAGTTGGGGCACAAAGTCCTCATCACAACTAACGGAGAATCTAAGAAGAATGAAGACAGAAACTGGAGTAGAGGAAGAAGAAGAAGAAGAAGAAGAGATTTTTGTTGAAGAATTTAGGATATGGAAAGACCAACCGACAAAACACCAACTAACCCAACGTGGTATTCTTTGTCTGTGTCGTGATCGCACGCAATATAATGCTCAGTTTAATTTCTTAATTTCCGTTCTGAAATAGAAAAATTCCGGTTGGTACAACCTTTGCGCTGGCCGGTGGTTGCTCGGAGACTTGTGAGCAGATAAGAGTGTTGATCGGATAATATAATCCCCGTGATATTTGTTTTGCCTTCTCTGCAGGAATGTTTTGCATATATAGAACAAGTTTCGAAGAAGTTGGGATTCCCTTCTTCTAGAAAATGGAGCTATAAATATACACCCATTTACTTTTTTGGGAAAATAAGTATTCGTTTTTCTAACGCATTTGTCAACGTTCACACAGCAACCACAAGAGACAACCCAGTCAAATTGATCGAATAATTATTTATAAGGTTTTAGATTTAATTCTTTATAGAAGCTGTTTATTAACTTTATGTGTAATAGGCTGATTTACAAAATCCTTTGCCGACTAAGATTACCCTAAGGGCTTCACCACCATATTATATAACAGTTGTCAGCTTTCCTGTAAGTAATATTTCATGTGTTTGGTGTATGAAATGAGTGAAAGAGAGCATTTTATACTAAAGGGCTTGTTTGGTAAATGGTGGAACCGCAGTCAAAACGTCCAAAAAATTGTTTGGTTCTTCAGCGGTTTGGAGCAGCGATTTGCTCAAACCACACTAACGAAGTTGTTCTTAGTGTTGTAGCCCATATTATAGGCTTATCGGGCTACTTTGACCAATTGACTACTTACATATATAATAGAATTGATAAGCATTTTTTCAACCACTCCAACTCATCAAATTTGTCATTTAAAAAGTTAATGTTTGAATTCATTATTCTAATTATAGATCAATCTAGCTATCATATATGTTTATTACACTCAATAAAATCAAAATACATCTACTCTAGTAACTTAGTAATTAGCGACATTGAATAGAAGATACAAAGAATTTTGTTACATATATATACATGCATCATGCATGCACAAATACAACTAACGTGGTAGTGGGGGTGTAATTATATTCTTTCAATAGATTCCTTAGATAGAAGGCCGGGAATATACGATGTCTGTAACGTAGGATTGAGAAGCAAACTGACGTTACAATGTTTTTTATTTTATTAGCAGAGTTTGTCGGGCGATGCGATGTGGCGTGCAGCCGACACCCCAAAATAGCCTGCACCAACAACATCATTGCTTAATGACCCTCATGTTTCACCATCAGTGCACACTTCCATATATACGCCTATCAAAGATGTTCGGGCACATGCTTAGCTCAATGGTTCGATAGATAATATTTAGAAAAAGAGATAAATATTCGAACTTCAACGATGACAATGTGAATGTAGAAATTATGTCTAAAGTGAGCAGATGTCTTATCGCATCGGCGTTTGACCCTATCTACCGAGTCATTGAGTAACTGTGATTTACATCCTCCTAAATACTCTGTCGGGCCGAAGTATGGAGCGCCTTAGGGGTTGGAGATTCAATCTTTTAGGAGAAGAATAAAAACAAAACGAATTGAGAAAATTTTATAATTAATAAACCAAACTATTATGTAAATAATATTTTGTGCTGTGAAACTATAAATTGCAAATTTTTATTTATAAAATTAAAGAATTTTTAAAATTTACTAAACTAGCTATTTTGATTAATCAATTAATCGAAAAATAATGACTCAATTAATTTAGAAATAATAACTTCGATTCAATTATTAACTGAATGAACACCCCACATATAATAGCACATCATTATATATATATATATATATATATATATATATATATATATATATATATATTGGTTCCTGTGAGGTCAGGTCTTCCCGTGCGGTCAGTGCGGCATACACCATTAGGTATGCATAAATGCACCATACAGTGTTTGAAAATACACCAGAATGAAATGTCAAAAAATACACCACACAAAAAAAAAAAAAAATACACCACATATAGTGTATTTACGAACACTGTGTGGTGTATTTATGCATACCTAATGGTGTATGCCGCACTGACCGCACGGGAAGACCTGACCTCACAGGAACCTGTCGATATATATATATATATATATATATATATATATATATATATATATATATATATATATATATATATATATATATATTTTTTTTTTTTTCAATTATGTTACAAGGTCGAATTTAATTTTCAATTATTTATTAATAATATTTTAATAAGAAAGAGAAGAAAGAAATGTAATAATTCTTAATAAAATGACTAATGATACGTTAAATATAACTTTTAGATATTGGATTTCATAATTAAAAATGAAAAGAAAGAACACCACGCTTCAATAATCAATCTTGTGATTATATTGCATAATTGCAGTGGCGCGGCGTTGGCGTGGATATTATTTATCTAACAAACACCCCACCATAATATTTTATGTTTCTCTAACCAAAGTTCAATGACTCAAAAGTCGTAAGCTTAACGTACATATGTCACATGTGTTGTTATTCATCAAATTAGCATTTTTTTTTTTTATTAAACGGTTAAACCAACATCAAATTAGCATATAATTTAGTCTAATGAAATAGAAAAAGTTGTACATATATACAAATACAATAATAAAAGCTTTCATAGTGCACCTTACAACATAATGCTTTTTTTTTTTTTTTTTTTTTTTTTTGTGACGAAGAAAATCCACAATACTACCTTAGGGTATGTACTATATAAACCCTATAATAGTGTAATAATATGCAAATTACGTTAAAAAAAAAAAAAGATAAACCACATTAGAAGGATTCTACTAATGGGCTCAATCAGAAATTTTATTTTTTTAAAAAAATTAAGGAGTGGAACACTTGAAAGACTTTACAAACTCTCCAAGACAGGCATCCTTTTTGGGCCATAAGGTACCCACAAGGTCAAAGGGTCAACATCATCCACGTAATAGACTGAATATTTGACGGAGAATTCTTGTTCCATCGAGGCCCTTAATCTAACTTGATGGTGGGTTCTCGTCTTCTTGACTAATGACTTTATAGTATAAAAGTATTTATAGATTTACATTTTTTTTTTTTGTCATTCAAAAAAAGTATATATATTATATTTTTATGAAGATTTCTTTTTCTTGAAAAGTGTGATATTATGTGACAATAGTGTGGTAAGGTATACAAAAATCTCCCCTACGGCAGTGTTAGCCAACTGACTTTACATTTGAAGAATTAAAGGATCGTGATTTGTTTCGGACAAGTAAACATTATGGCCCCAAGCCCCCAATCCGATGGTCAAATAATAATAATTATAGAGAAAAGAAAAAAAATGTACTTTTATTTCACATATAATGATAAAAATCATTTTTAATGCGTTGATAAGTAGTAGTACTTTCTGCACCAGTTATTAGTCCTGTTTGGTAATATAGTTAGCTTATTAATCAATTTTGGCTTGTTTAACCATTATTAGATGTTTGACTTTGTTAAACAGTCAATATGAGTGTTTGATTAATTAGATTTTTGTAATAATTTATTGCTCCAAAACGTTAACATTCAAAAAACTACTCAAAACAACTTTTTCGATCAGCTTTCTGAGAAAGTCATTTTACATGCAATCAGCTATCAGCTAACAACTAATTTATCAAACATCTTTCTACAATAAGTTAATGTTATCAATTAGTCAAACTCACTAACCCAATCAGCTAACAACTATTTACCAAATACTTCCATTATACTGTATATATACATACATGATTGTGTTGGTACGTATTACTAATGATTTTCATTTGTATTCATTACAAATTTACAATCATATATGTATATACGATTATACTAAATTACTAAGTGAAAAGAAACCGATACTAATCGGCAGTATAACATTTCCCATAATAAGACTTTTCATAGTGCAAATAACTCGAATTTAGTACAATCAAATATGATACTCCGTATTTTTTATTGTGTTGCGTACTATTAGATTTTTTATAGTGCAAACAAATAGCTCGAATTTGGTATAATCAAATATGATACTCCATATCTTTTATTGTGTTGCGTACTATTAGTATAGACGTTAACAATACCAGGTGCAATTAAATATGATATATATAATTTTATCATATATTATTGCTACCGGTGCCTATTAGCACCATAGAAATTTCAACAATAATAATAATAAATGTGGAGCGAAGGCTTGAAGAGACAAGTCTGACATCCGGTCATCAGAATGTGGCACTATACAAGAATTTTTTACGTAGTGATAGACATTTGATCTTAGACAATTCGAGTCCAACATCCTGCCAGCGAAACATGGCGCTAACTACTTTGCAAGTATAAGGAAATAAAGTTACTTCTTCGCTACTACTAGCTACAATTTTTTATGCAATAACAAGTGCTTGATCTTGACTGTAAATCTGTAATAAGGTGCTAATCAATACTTGGTACAGTCCAAAAAGCCTTTGCCTTATATTGAGTGCTATATGTACATTTACCTCCGTAACACACACACAAACACACACACGCGCGCACACGCACAGAGGTTATACCTAATGCAAGAGATATCGGTGACCATAAGCACCCTAGATTTTATAATAATAATATGAAATGCTATATGGCTTAGCAAATCCTTGCATATTGCATATAAAACAAGGAACCCTAATTGAATTACATTTGTAATGGCAGAACACAGATCATGAAACAGTTGTTAAACATGAACCACATTGGGGATTTATAGAATCACAACAAACTACAATTTTTCTATTTAATTTAAGAAAACAACCTCAATGATGTTACCATATTACAACCTTTAGGAACAGCAGAAGCCTTAATTAAACAGCAGCTTGGTGGTTTGACAATGGCAAGAATGTTTTGTTTCTGCACAATCCATAATGTTTTCCTCTTAATTTCCATGATATTCTCATGAGGGCACATTGAAGTGGAAGAGCCACGAAATGACGAAGGCGAAAACCATGCAGGCTAGCAAGAAGTTGAGAAACCGGTGACCTTGCCAGAAGTTGCGAGCCTCTGCTGGCGGCGTTGCTGCTGTTTCTGTTGTCACCGCGGCAGTGCTTCCTTCGATCCACTGCTCTGCCGCCTCGGCCTCACTTATCCCGACCACATTGTGTGCAACTGATCCACAGATCTCGCAGGTCCTGCATGTTGAGCATATAACCATTAATGTGCAATCCAACTATCAGATTAGGCTTTTATTCATCGAAGATAACATACAACATAGACTCCCAATCTCAGTTTGATCAGACAGACTACAATAACCTCAGATATCATTATCTCATAAGTACCATTACAGAAAAAGGGAAAATTGCATATGAGAAGAAAACAATCGCGATAGTTAGTTATGAATGGATAGTTCATAGTTCAGTTTCCATATCTGATACTCGATAACTAGATCGAAACTAGGAATGCATAAAAGGACTGCAGAAAGAAACCTCATAACTGAATATTTGCATAAACTAGGAATCTTGCAGCCAAAATATGTGACCATTTTGCTGAGTTTTACAGCAATCCTATGACTGACTAACCAAGAACACCTGCCCAGATTTGGAAGAACAAAACAACAGTCGAGCAGACGAAAATTCTCTCCAAATGGCTTTACAAGAAAAGATTTTGATTTCAGGAACTCGTATAAATCAGTCACTACCTACTGCTAGAAGCCATAAACATTACTTGTGACTCTCGACGACTCGAGACCTTTGCAAAGTCAACCCCAAGATTATAGAGATGTATAACCAGTTTCAACACAATGAATCATATTCATAGCTGACCAGAGAAAATGCTTCCACTTTTCTATGGCTCCCTGATTCTTGCCATAAATAAAATATGCTCTTCCAACTTTATTTATGTCTTCCACTCCCACATCCACATCATACATTCTTTTTTAATATTCCCATTAAAGCCAAAGTTAAAGATTTTCCACTTTCTATTTTGTTTTTGCAGTTTTTGCTGAGTTAACTCAATGATTACCACTTACCAGTCACTCTATGACAGAAGCCAAAAGTGAAAAACCTAAAAACTCTGCTGCAAATTCTTCAATTATATATCACCAAGAATGGAATCAAAGGAAATTTCAAGAATTCATAAACTAACAATCTTACTTGTTTCCCCTTATCTTGAACCAAGCCTCAGCACAATGCTTGTGAGCAGCCGCCAAATCATCCTTACAAGAACAACCTAGTTCCATGGGCAACCCAGATTCTGGATTCTCCGCATCTAAGCTCAGATGACATATCCGACAATCCCTCTCAGGTTTCTCCGAATGTACCTCGTTTTCTTGCTCCCCACCAGCTTCCAGATCCACCTCCACCGCCGAAGATCTCCTCTTCTTCTCCGGGACGCCGGTAATCTCGCTGTTACAGAGCTCCACCCCGCCGGAGATGGAGGAACATGAGCTGACACTGACACCCCCGCCGCCATTGCCACCCGTTTCCAAATCAGCATTGCCCTTCTCTAAAGATTGCATTTTTATGGCGACCCAGATGATGAATCCGCATGAAAAATGCAGATTCTTGCTTGGGCAGAAAGAACAAAACCCCCCAAGCCCAATGCTCTCTGTTCTCTACATGAAGTGTCTGTAAAATGAGAGGCTGTTACTGCTCATTTTCTCAGGAAAATGGAAAGAAATCTACAGTCTCGAATCTTAGACTTCACCCCCTTTAATTAATTGGGTAGAGAGAGTGTAACTTTTCGTTGTTACAAAACAAGATTATGTATGTGATGGTTACCAAACCTGGCTTTTTCCTTATGTTTTTGTCCACCTTTTCTGCTCCAATTGAGCGTATCAATGGCGCTGTTAATTAAGAACATTTTTAGTTACGTCACGGAGTCTGACACTATTTGCCATGTTGTGTTTGGGCATGCTAAAGCGCCACCTGCGTGAGTCCCTACCAAAAGTCAATTCCAGACTTGCCTCTTCTGCTGGTTTTCTTCAATTTTTTCAGATATTTAACACAGGACTTTCATCGTGTTGTATAACATCACCTCACACTTTAAAAATGATATTACTAAAAAGATATTTTTGTTTGAGACAATTGGTAAGTGAGTGCTAATTCCGTTGTCAAGTTATACTGTACTTTGTTGATCTAAATTGAGGCGAATCTCGATAAATTTTGGTGGAGAAAATTAGGTTGAGATTAGGTTAGAATAAACCAGATAGGATCTATGTTATATTAGTTGAGTGGGGTCACAACATTTTAACATAATCTTAGGATACAGTTACATTAACAGTTCATTTACCGATTGTCATAAAGTGGCTATTTGAGTACGTTAAGCATGATCTCAAATTGTGGCAGAACACTTTCTCATGGGTGGTTAAGTAAAGACTGACAACTCCAGTAAGTTAATGGGACGGTTGGCTTGATAACCAGAATTTTTTAAGTTTGACTCCTTATGAGAGTTGTCTATTGGATCTAGGCTGGTTTTTATTATTGTGATCCTTTGCCAGTTAAATTATAAGATGAACATCATCCAGAGAGCACATTAGAAAGGATGATAAATCAAATAATGGATGTGAGATTGTGAGGTATGTTGGTTTGCATATGGCCCATGATGGATGTTGGAGTTATGGATTTTGTTTGTATTAGTTTTGGATATCAGACATACAGCTCAGCAATACCAGTGGTTGAAATTATGCACATAATTATCTATACATATTGGCCCAACAAGGAACGGACAAATTGTAAGCCTATTTTTACCTAGGCCAAAACTTAAGTATTGCACCGATCCAAGAAGGTTTATAGCAAAAGACCATTTAAGAAGCCCAGTAATGTAGAGACCTCTGTGGCCCAATACTTAAGTATTGGACCGATCCAAGAAGGTTTGTAGCAAAAGACCATTTAAGAAGCCCAGAATGTAGAGACCTCTGTGGCCCAATTTAAGAGCCTCTTGGGCTGTTAATTGTTAGGCCATGATGCATTGTTATAACTATGGACCATGGTTCATATTGCATTATAAACCCAATTCTGAACTTTTAGTTAATACATTCTATATCTACAATTAACAGTTTCTGTACATGTAAAAAATAACTTGATAATTGATGACACATAATATGATAACTACAGGCATAGAAACTATTAACTTAAGGTACAGAATGTGTCAAATATAGATACTAATCTGACTTGATAATTGTTGACACATAATATGATAGCTACATGTACAGAAACTATCAACTACAGGTACAGAATGTGTAAACTATAGATACAGAATCTGAAGGTTATTTTTGTACCAGGGTCTACAATAAAAGATGGACACTGGTCCATGGTATAATTTGCCGCCATGATGTTGCAAAAAAAAAAAAAAAAAAAAAAAAAAAAAAAAAACAAAACAAAACAAAACAAAAAACAAAAACAAAAACAAAAACAAAAAAAGTATACCGTGAACTATGGTTCACAGTGTACCACTGATATATGTTTATTTTTAGTATACTGTACTATAAGTTCATTTTTAGATGGTATATTAAAAATGAACTTGTATTAAAATATAATGAACCTACTAAAAATGAACTTGTATTAAAATATAATGAACCTACTAAAAATGAATCTGTAGTACAGCAAAAATAAACATGTATGTCAGTGATTCATCTTGTAATGTAAACCCTAGTTCGCATTTCGCGGTATAACGATTATTGTAAACAAGCAAACATGACCGATTCTTCATTTTCAATTCCTATAGAAGGCATTTGGTTTTGTTTATTTTGTTAAAAATCACTCGTAATTTTTAGTTTTTCTCTTACAACCATATAGTGATATTACCAAATAAATTATAAGGTGGTGATTGGTACCATGCTAAATTTTTAAGTTGCACTTGGTATTGTGACTTGTGAGATATTATACTATCTGATACAACTAGACATTCATCTTTAGGTTTGCTTATTGATGATGTCAAGGAAACGACTAGTGATTCTAGTGATATCTTTTTCCAGTTTGTCAAACGATCTGCGAATCGTGTTGCGTATACTATTGTTAGGGGGTCGTTTTTGAGTCAGGTTGTGGTAAGTGGCTTCATGCACCGCCTTTGTCCATTATGGGTATTTTGACTGATGATTTCAAAGAAAAATAATAATGGAGTAAATTGAAAATGGAAAAAAAAATGAAAAGAAAATGCCAAATAAAGAAAGATTAGAAAGAGTAGTGAATAGCAAGGGAATGTAGGAGAGGAGTCCCATCACATGCAAGTGTGATGGGGGAATTGAAGCTTTAAAAAAGGAGAAAATGAATAGGAGAAAGTGGCATAAATTACACCAAGATCAGAGTAATATAGTGGTGGTTGCATTAGGTTTTCAATATGAAAATGAAAGCTTAGAAGCCCAGCAGACATGGGAGTTTGCTCTCTCTCATGCCACCACCACAAAGTGAGACAATTAGACAGCGACTTCATTCCCAAACCCCCTATTCAATTCCTCACCTCCCACCACTCTCTATTCCCATCCTTCTTAATATTAATTACCAAAAAAAAAAAAAAAAAAACTTACAATTACAGATGGTGAAAATGCTGACTATTCTGCCATCAAAACGTACGATAATTGCAATACAAGTATAAAGAAATAAAGAAATAAAGAACTGAAATTCGAACCCATTTGAAAGAGTCACTTCATGACACTTGACCACAAGGTCATGGTTGGCAATTGCTTCCTTAAAAACATTTACTTGGTTAATCCTCATGAAGTTAATCAATTGATCTTTCACTAACCATATCATTCAATCTCTATGTCACTTGTCCCTAATAATTAAGTCCATGTCTATGATTATTCCGGCAAGATTGGGCCTTCTCATATAACTCCTGCACCAACATTGGATTATCTTGATGTATATTTAGTATACTAATGCATAACCTACAATTTATTTATAAAGATATTTTGTCGATTTATAAAATTTATTTCCATGAAATTAAATTTGAATTAAACACATAACTAATGATTTGTAAGAAAAAATTGGCTCACCTCACTAACTTTTAATGAAGTACTAAAGTATATAATCAAATAGCCTTGAAACATTTGAAAGAAAATTTTTAGAGAGTTAATTGCCGAAATAGTCCTTTGACTAGGGGTGTGCAAATTTCGGAGAAATTTCGGTTAACCGACCGAACCGACGAAATTCGGTTAACCGTTTTCGAACCGAAATATTTCGGTTCGGTTAATGGTTAAAGGTTTTTCTAAAATTCGGTTAACGGTTAATTCGGTTCGAAATTGTCGGTTAACCGAATTTTGGAATATATATATATATATATATATATATATATATATATAATGTTATATTAAATATTAAATATATAATTACTAAAATCATAAATAGTCAAAATGTCAAATAGAATAAATAATAATATGAATTTATTATGATATGTATTTTATTTTAATTGGAATTATTATTTTAGGAATTATTTTATGGATTTTAAATTTTAGGGTTAAAAATTTCGGTTAATCGGTTAACCGACCGATTAACCGAAAAAAGTTCGGTTCGGTCAATTCGGTAGAGTAAATTTCGGTTCGGTTAATGGTTAAAGCAAAAAAAAAATTCGGTTAATTTGGTTCGGTTAACCGAACGGTTAACCGAATGAACACCCCTACCTTTGACTATAGTGAAATTATCAATTTGATCTTTGACTGTTTTTTTACCAATTAAGTCCCTCAACTTTAAAAATCTTAACCAATTTGGTCTTCCGTTTGTTGGACCGTTAGTCAATCGTTAACTTGGGACCAAATTGGTAATTTGCTATAGTCAAGGAACCATTTTGATAATTAATTTTAAGGGTGGGCAATTCGGTTCAGTTTTCTCGAACCGAAACGTACCAAACTAGTTAGATTCGATAATATACCGAACAATCGAACGGTAATAGATTCTTGTATACCGAACGGTTCGGTAAAAACTCGAGTCGAACTGAATTTGTTTGGTAAAAACTGAACCGAACCGAACTGAATACCGTTTGAACTTTGGATTGCTGTTTTGTTATATATTAGACTTTGGATATGGACTATGTAAACACCATAGCACATAATATAGAACTTTTGATAACAAACCATAAAGAAATCAAATAAAACATATACGAGAGATACCCGTGAGAATATGAGCTGAACGGCAGAGCAAGCAGTAAGGGACTTGGATTTACTTTTTATTTATTTATTTATTTATTTATTTATTATTATTATTATTATTTTTTATTTTTATTATATATTTTTTTAAAAAATCAAACGGTATTCGGTTCAGTTCAATTTTTTACCGAACAATTCGGATCGTTTTTTTATCGAACCGTTCGGTTGCTCGGTATATTACCGAACCAAATTATTTCGGTTCTGTTTGGTACGATTCAGTTCGAGAAAACTAAACCGAATTACCCACCTCAAAAGTTAATTACCAAAATGGTCTATTGACTATAGCGAAATTACTAATTTGGTCCCAAGTTAACGGTTGACTAACGGTCAAACAAACAGAGGACCAAATTAGCTAAGATTTTTAAAGTTGAGGGACTTAATTGGTTAAAAAATAGTCAAGGACCAAATTGATAATTTCGCTATAGTCAAGAGACCATTTCGGTAATTAACTCATTTTTAGAGGTGTGACCTCGTAGCAGCGGAAGCAATGTTGATCTCCAATTGATGCCTTCTTGTGTTGTATTTTGAACGGTAGACTGTTAGCCATTATTGTCTCATACTTGACTCAGAAGCACAAATTGTGTATCGGTGTCTACTGAGCAGTATAAATATTGTAACTGAATGTGTTGTATAATGAATATCATATATCCCTATCAATCCAGATTTATATTAAGCACAAATTAAAGACTAACAACTTCTAGTTATTTAGTCTGATCTAACCAAAGTCTCTAGTCAACTTAAGGAAGCATTACTATACTCGAATAAAACGGAAGGTTTCATCGTCTTCGCCCATAGTTTTGTCGAATTCCCAAAGTATGAAGCAAAACCA